GAAGGGAAATGTATCGAATGAAAAAGAGCTCATGTGTTTTCCATGTCGATATTATTGATTCGTGTGTTTTCCATGTTGATATTGTTGATAACTTCACGTCATGTTTCTAAATATTAGAAATGAAAAGAGCATAATTTTATCATGGCATGTCAGATGTACAGTGTGTCCAGTTTTCGATGCTTTAAGGGGTGGGGATATCTCAGTTACCTTTGGAGTGTTGCGGTTTTCACGTTACTCCCTTACTTTTTTGTGAAACGAATAATGTCAAAACAGAATTTTCATAATCCTTCATACAGGGCGAAGTTGAAATTTCTCACTTTTTGAGCCCAAAAAAAAGAAATATGGTTACTCCATTTTCTAAAAAAGCGATTACACCAACAAAATAAGTACGTCACTGTATTATACCTAGAGATTTATATAAGGCCTCAATCTCATCCTGCCGATAAGATGAAAAGTAACCAAGATCCGGAGGTGTTCAAAGAGAGAGAATTTTCAATTTCGCCTTGAATCTCAAAAACATCGGACTATGAAAATTCTGTTCGCGGCATTACTTACTTGAGAAGAAATATTATCAGATATATTTATGACCACAAAAAATGGATATATATATATATATATGAAGAAATACATTGAAACTTCGCATTCTCCATGTGATGAAAATATTAATGTGAAAACCGCAACACTCTATCTCCAAAGATAACTGAGATATCGCGCAAAAGCATCGAAAACTGGACACACTGTATATCTTGAATAAAATATCATTTGATTTCGTTCTCTCTTTACCACGTTTTTGTTAGCCGTTTTTCTTTGGTGAGTTTGTTCCCTACAAATTTGGTTATCAAATTCATTTCGTTATATTCGGTTGACAAGTGAAAAAAGTATCAGTCTGACCCATCACTGGAAAGAGGAAAAAAGCTATATTCAATGAAATGAACAACCAATATGGGGACCATAGGAAATTTCAGAAGTGAACAAAAAATCAGGAACAATAAGGATGCTGTTTGTTTTCATTTATCACCATGTAATAGGTGTGTCAAACCTCTAAAACTACACAGGACCACACTATTAATTCGACAATATTGCAAATACCAATGAAATATTTTCGACAAATAGGTTTGTCATAAAATGATTCAGAACATTATGCATTCAACAAGCTTTTCATATTTGATATCACTGAAGTAGGTATTGCCAAGAGACACTTGATAAAGTATCATCTCCATAACTCTTCTAATTAAGACAGTAGAAAAAAAAAATCCCAGAATATTTGATTTCCTTCTTAAATCAATAGATGAATACCAACTATATGTTACTATAACATTACATCCTATATATTTCCTCACCATTGGAGAGACCTTTCAAGAAACTTTTCAAAAATACACAACAGTTTGATCGATTTTTTAATGATTTGTTTATTTGATTCAACTCGTATTTGTTCCCATATTTATAACCACATTCAAAGTGATTTCCTCATGGACGTATCAATATTCAATTTCTCTCTTTTTAGGAATACCTATGTTGGTCTTTGTAATCACATCTAATTTTTAGATCAAATACTAACTAAATTCAAGATAATCATTCAGATTCAAAAGTAGTAAAACATGTTGATAACATTTTGAATTTTTTAAAAGATATTTCAAAAGGAAAGAAAAACATGAGTTAAATCAAGAAATTATGTTATTTTCGATGATTTGAAAAAATAACCAGTATAGAAATGATTATGCCCCAATTGATACTCAATATTGGCACCTCTACTACTCTACAAAACTCTATTATACTTGTTATTATTTATTCCTAAACTTCTTTGACAGATTGAACTAACTTTTACCTTTTCTTTGGAGAAGTAATAAAATTTGCTCTAATTCTGTTTTTCAATTTTTACCTCTACTGTCATGAATTAATAAAAGTTATAGAGGGTGGCACTTTGAAACGTGTCACCCATACATGCAGCATGAACCTAGAACACACTGTAAAATAAAAAGCGTTAATGTCAACAATATTTAGTGATATTACTTACGCACAGCCTACAGCCGTACCAATGGAATCACACACCTTCCGACCCTACAATATTTTTGTTCGTGTACTAGCTACAGTTGTCCTTCAGGCTGGGGCCTTATTTTTGAATCGAGGGAGCTGCCGAGAAAAAGGTGAAATGACTCACTTTAGAAAAAAAAAATCGTTTCCCGCTGCTTCTCCCGATAGAAAATTCGCAAAAAGACGATGACCTTCTTTATCAACTTTTTTCCTTGTCTTTAATTTCATTCTTACTGTGCCAACTAAATGGCGAATGTGGGCAAAATCTACGGGCGGAAAAATCTAAGGGCGACAATTCGGTTAAATGACCCGTACTAATGACCTCTTCTTTCTAATGTGGAGCGTAGGTGTAACCTAAAACTCCACCTCAACAGTAACCTGAAGTACAACGGAATCAGCGTTACGTAAAGTATGATCAACAGTTACTAAAAGTGTAACAAACTGTTACCTAAAATGTTATCTCGGATGTCTACTCAAATAATAATAACCCACGACTATCTAGTGCAGTGGCGGCTCCTCAGAGGAGGCAACGGAGGCTGAGCCTCCTCAGAGATTTTCCTTAAACTGATATTATCTATACTTTTTCATTAAAAGGAACCAAAATACATGGATTTTGATTTTATTTCCTGTTTTTAGGTGAATATTTTTGAATTGGCAAACATTGCTTGCCCACGCATCACACGTTGATGTCTGCAAATCAGGCGTAAAATATTCAACTTGGCAACATCTATAGGAGGCTAGACTCCTTCTCAAGGCGCAACCCACGCGCGCAATGTAAATGCCCGAATACGTCCGAATAGCACGTGTTTGTCGTGTCGCGTCGCGAATTGCGGAAAATCCATCGTGAGTGCATCGTTTATGTTTATGTTAGGATAATGGTTAGGTGCTCTATAAATTTCTGAAAAATGAGTGTTTTAAACGATTGCGATTTAGTGAAATACTTTTTGGTGGACCCATTCAGTGCTTTGTCTTATGAAGATAAATGGATTGTGAAAAACAAACGTCCGACACCGGAATTAAAAAATCTGATTGTAACAAACAAAATCGTTCGTTCAATTCTGATAATCATAAAAAATATATCTGGTTGATGGTACTGCGTATTATTTTCAACCGATAAGTCATCATGTTGGGGGCGATTAGGATATATTGATTTGAAAAATTTGCCTGGCGGATTGGATAGACACTGCAAATCACAGGAACACATCTCTTCAAGTTTTAAGTTCAGGTTAACTGGTAAACAGAATGTCATTGAAGCTATTGATTTGGGTGAGTAGAGAGTTGTTTTTCACAATAAATCTCATATCATTCAGCCTCCTCTGTCATGGAAGTCACGAGCCGCCACTGATCTAGTGACAAGTGGGCATTCGCCGATTTTTCAATGCAAGATAGTACTCAAGGGCGCCAGATAGATTTACTCATAGATTGATTGATTGATTGATTGTGTTCATTATCCCAAGAAACATTACTGTTTATGGTAGGGATACATAAACACATATACAAATAATAATAATAATAAAGGGTTAACTAATGAATTCCACTCAGTGGAAACGAATTCATATTGTTTCTTAAGATTAAAGTTATAGTGGGAGGAGAAGATGGTGTGCCTACGCGCATATTATGTGACGTCATCTGTGATCCCAATATCAGTATGGTAGTGAAAGACAGATACCGTTGCCTTGGGCATGCGCTATGAATTCAATCGAGTTTATTGAAATTCCTATGAGTTTCTTCATCTGTCTAGAAATAATTCAATTTATATAAATAGGTACTTATTCCTTCGATTTTACTATTCCATTGATTCTGGAATTTGTGATCCACCACTGTGTTGATTAATTCAGCAGTTAACGGCGTTGACGTCGCTTCTGCTTTGACATCGACAACAGGAGTATCATTTTTTGCCGTTTTGTTATTCAAATCTCTGCTGCAATTTATCAATCATCTTCAATTATTTCTAACTTAATATTTGACGGAAGACGTTCTGTAGGAATGGCATCTTATATCAAATATTTGTGATTTTTTGGAGGTGTGTAATTTAACAACTGTACTTCCAAACTTGTTTGACAACATTTTGTATGGAAATGTGTCCAACAAATTCGTGCTGGAATATGATGTGAATACTTTGGAATCAGGATATAAGGAATATACTCAAGGTAGGTACCATTATTTGAATTTTTTTCGGTCAGCAGCAAGCTTCCACTCATCGTTTCATTATTCCTCCATTCTTGGAAAAACATAAAAATCCAATATTTGTGCCTTTTGTATATAAGTTGGAATTTCCCATGACCAGCAACGAAACAAGTGGGCATTTTGAAATCATTTCATTCAATTTTAGAGCATATATAATATCTGAAATTTGGGACATCGAACACGAAAAAAATAATAACAATGGCAGTTATATCCCAATTGACGTCATGCGCAGAAAAAGACGAGTTTGAGCTTTCTGAGAGTAAAATCAAAACCAAGTGTAGGAGGGGAAATTATATTCAATATTCAGAAAGTTGAATAGGTACTCATATCGGAAATCGGAACAGAATTATATCATTGAATCATTGAACAAAAAAAATTAACAAATGGAATGGAGCCATATCCCAACCTTTCACAGACACCCTGTATATTCTCTAAACTGTGGTATTCTCTCATAATCGACCGAAAAAAGCAGTGGAAAGTAAAATCGCGAACATTCTACACCCAGCATACCCTCGAGGCAATCGCTCTCTCGATTAAAAAATTAACAAATGGAATGGAGCCATATCCCAACCTTTCACAGACACCCTGTATATTCTCTAAACTGTGGTATTCTCTCATAATCGACCGAAAAAAGCAGTGGAAAGTAAAATCGCGAACATTCTACACCCAGCATACCCTCGAGGCAATCGCTCTCTCGATTAAAAAATAAGGCCCCAGCCCGCACAACCGACGGAATCACACACCTCCCGATCCTACGATCTGTTGTCGTTGTTGTTCGTGTACTAGCTGCCGTTGTTGTTGTTCTTCGGACTAGTGGGCACCGAGGCGACCGTCTCCGATCGGCTGATGTACAGCCGCAGCAGCTTCACCTTGCTGCCGGGCAGGTGGCTGATGTGCGTCGTCAATCGCTCTTCGCCTACGGCCTTGTACAAGGCCACCATACAGAATATCGAGCTTTTCCTCACGGGGCTTTCTTGATGGTCTGTCGCCTGCGCATACGAACGGATTTTAATGCTTCTTGAGGCAGTATGTATGTATGTTTTCATGTGTCATACAGTGAAAAAGGTGTTGATTTTGCGCAGATTTGCAAACATTGTTGTTAGAATATAGGACTGGTTCCAAATATTTTGGTATTATAAATATTTATACTGTATGGCACAGAAAATATTTTTGTTATCATATTTGTCATGAAATTTAACAGGTGTCATACAGCCTTTTAACAAGTTACGCCAGCTTCCATACACAACAGAATACTAGGGTCCCTTGATGTAAATTGACGTATTTGTCATCTTAACAGGTTACGGACAGATCCTCGTCTCCTCTCACTCTAAAGTGTTTGTGAAACAATTATCTAGTGCCATCTTTATTCATTTCTAGGGATAAACACTAGATTTCTGGCATTTGTTGTTTTTTAGGTTATATTGAGGACATTGGCGTATCGTACGTAATTTCCAGATAAAATTTCTCATTCAACTCTACATATTATATCCAAATCAGTTCAGTTCAATTTATTCAATTCGATACAGATTTAGAACAGGTTCATACAGATTCAAATAACGCTAGTCAAATAGATGATTATGATAGATTCATTTTACAGAAATATCAATCTGACTACCGTATAATATGGATAATTTTATACTCAAATAGAAATTGGATGTTTCACCTAAGCACTAATGGTGCTTGTATTGTGTTTTGCATCCAACTTCCTTAGGAAATAAAATATTGTATATTTGTTAGTTTTTCTTGAATAGAAACGAGAGAGGGTAACATATGTTTGTGCTAAAGTATATCGTCAGTATCATTACGCTAGCTTCCTCGAAGGAAATGTAATTTTTTTTTGTTTTTTTTTTGTTTTCAAAATATAAATGATGATAATTTTCGAGTTTTCGATTTTTCAACTACAGAATGATCTTTGTGAGGCAGTGAGCAAATTTTTCTGAAAGTTTGATACGTTTTTCCAAATGGGACTGTTCTCAGGCAGTACCTACCTATCAATAAATGAATTTTGATTCCAGACTAAGTCTTATAGTTGAACACCTAATATTTCCTGAATGAAGATTTCATTTTTTAAATGGTAGGACATATGTCTTTTCTTTTAATCCTCCGTTTTAATCAAAACTGCTTCTACTAAAATGCATTCAGAAACTTGTGGAGTGGATAATTATAGGCACAATGAGAAAGTATAATATGTGATTTCGTATTAGTTTTACCTAGAATATTTTGCTGATGTATTTACCAATTTTCCCCATTCGGCCACTTCACTTTCCATGTTCTAAGTTCATTTGCATTTGATGGAAAGCTGACAAATTCAAATTTGCCATCCAACTGATTGATACAGCCTAACGCAGCACATTTTACCATCCTTCCAAAACAGAATTGAATAATTTCGTATCAAGATCAAGTATGAAATTGAAAATTTATAAAATCTCTTTCAACGCCTATGAATGTGACGTGACAGCAATGTCATGTCAGGGACGCCAATACACGAAACCAAAGTCACTAGATGATTAAAAGAGGAAGGAGGTACGTGACAGCAATGTCATGTCAGGGACGCCAATACACGAAACCAAAGTCACTAGATGATTAAAAGAGATAGGAACTATGATCTGTCCGTACCCTGTTAGATGACAAATACGTCAGTTTGCATCAAGAAACCTTACAGAATACTAAACAAACTAATATTGAAATTTCAATTCTACAAGAGGAAATAGAACGATAAGACAAAACGGTATTTCTGGGTATCAACTTTGATAGTACCCTAGAACTTAAATCTCACTGTACTGACCTGGCAAGCTCATTGTATAAAAAATGCTATCAAATCAGAACTTTGAAAACAGTGTTGAACACAGAGAACCTTTTATCATTTTATTTTGGAGATGTGCAGTCTAGACTCATGTATTGTATAAGAATATGGGATGGCACTTCATATTCACAAAATGTATTCAAAGTGCAAAAACGAATTATCAGATGCATTGATGGAGCGTCACCGACACAGTCATGTAGAGCCTTTTTTAAAAAATAATGATGTATGTAATGTATGATTGAATGAATCAATATCATCGAACTTATCGTTGTAAAGTGTTGCCATTCTATGTTTCTTCCTAAGTTTGTTTCACCGATTTTTTCAGAGAAGAGACGGTAATTCCTCAGAGAACGAGATGGAACATTGAGAGGTATATTTGACAAAATTTCATGGGTATCGACCACAATCATTCACTATTTTAAATAAAAATATTGTCGGATTGCTCCCGACGAGCCTCTAGTGTGGGCATACGATATTTGTTTCTTAGGAAGGCTGTACCCGTTGTAATATTGTATTTCCCACTAATTCTGTATTCGAGATAATTTACCTCTACGGCCACTATAGAAAGTAGGCAAGAACACACGAGATACAGCCTCAGTAAGTTGATCATTACACACAGTAAACACATCGCACAGTTTTCGTTTATTCCGCCAATATAGGTATGTCATAATCGCGTAATCGCCGTCAACAGCGGATGACATAACTGTCAAGAATTATAATTCAGACTGTTTGCCCAAAATTTCTTGATGTACTATAATGCGTGTTGTAAAGCAATTTCGTTTATTCCGCCAATATAGGTATGTCATAATCGCGTAATCGCCGTCAACAGCGGATGACATAACTGTCAAGAATTATAATTCAGACTGTTTGCCCAAAATTTCTTGATGTACTATAATGCGTGTTGTAAAGCAATTATACGCACTCATGGTAACTTTTCCATTCGTGCGTAATATGCTTCTTACCACACATATTACGTGATATACTATTATATGATCTCCAATCTAGCATTGAGGATGCCAGATGACATTTGCAAAGTTTAATTGACTATTAGACCGTTGGCCCATAACACTAGGGGTGTCGATTATCTACGAAGGTATGCCCTTCAAGAGACATGAAGATTGAGTTGGATTATAGGGAATAAAGTGATTAGTTGGATCGGTACCCGGTCGCCCATCTCCCTAATCAATCAACTTCCTGTTGGAAGTAATGTTGAAAATTGTATTATAGAAGAAGCTTTAAAATTTATTGGAATAGTCGCATCTCGCCAAATTAACCGGGCGCTAGCCGATTTGCATATGTCTAGGTCGGTCCCGAAGGGCGGCATACGGACCGCAAGTTACCGTTAACCGACATTTTTCTTAGATTATTTACGATGGTATGCCCTTTGGTTAATTCCTTCATTTCGACCCATGAATCAATGCCATAACATTTGCATACAGTTTGGGTGGGCGAATTTAGACATATTCGAAGGTCACTTTACATCATCGATTATATATATCAAGATTATATAATTTTGTATGCCATTCAATCAGGTGATAGATTCAGTTATACTGAATAAGAAAATAGCGTTTGCATACGAATGTATTGTGAGCATACGTCGATTTTGCTATAGGGAGTCTATTTTTTTCAGTTTTTCTAATATTAAAAAGTTGAAACTGGAAATTCCAGGATGATCGAGTGCCAAGGGCTCTCAGGGAGGTTTCGGGGTCACTAAGCTCGAATCTGGCACCTACTACTAGTGCCGGGGGCCGGGGATGATAGAGGATGACTCTAGGGGGGATGTCAGGGGGCGCATCTCATTTGCAGAACCGGCAGATAGTCTTGTTGGATTCTATGAATCTGATCCTCTTGGAGTTACAATGGGAGTTCCTAAAGGATCAATCTTGGATCCCATGTTTTTTGTTATTTTCATGAACGATATTGTAATATTCCCCTGAGAGGGGCTCGAACATCATCAAGAAGGCGTATAACGATCTTCCTGTATCACGCGTATCAGATTGTTCTCGAGTATCCCAATAATTCTAACATGAATCAGCATATTTTCGAACACCCAATATGTGTCGCAGCGACAGAAACATCTCAAAACAATCGATGGAACTATTAGAGAGAGAGAGAGATACTTTTCTATGAGAAGCTTCGAGAACAAAAGAAGGGTACCGATGATTTTCGGGAACATTCGACAAGCATGCCAGCCAAATCATCTGATATATAAGGACGACAGGACAGCAGGTGGTCAGTGATTGTCAGAGAGACAGCCATATACCGCGTGATATAAATGGTTCGACATAAATAGTAGTTATTATGTTTGTTATAAATGAGTGTTGTGAGGAATCAACGATTTATTTTTCTCCGTGTATACGTCCAAGGTAACGAATTTGGAGCCAAAGGCGGAATTAAAGCTTTTCACAGGGTGATATGTGGTTTGAGAACAATTAATCGAATGAGTAGGTACACTCATTTTGTGAATAGCAGCTGTAACAGAGTGGAGCTGTGTGCCAGTTACTCGAAGGCTCGGGCCGCCCGGTCAATAAAAGTGTAACTGAAAATTGATTCATAGCTTCCTTGAGAGAATATTTCCAGAAATCACAAGAACAAAACTTGAGATATCGCATTTTTGCGGTTTTTTCATTGTATTTCGTTTCCTTTATGTAGATCAAGATCAAAATTTTAAAAAAATACATATTTCTTCAAGTTTTGAGTTGAAAATTTATTTTTTTAGTTATTAGGCCAACTCTATGACGCTTTTGAACTGCCATCCTGAAAAAAATTTTTTTTCACGAGTACTTGCATAATTAATAGTTGCAACTGTAAATTAGGAAGGGGAAACTTTTTTTTACACATCCCCTAATTTACAGTTGCAACTGTGAATTAGGAGATGTTTTGAAAAAAAAAAAGATTCTCCTTCCTAATTTACAGTTGCAACTGTGAATTAGGAGATCAACAGTAAATTAGGCAAATATCCGTGAAAAAAAAGTTTTTTTAGGATGGCAGTTCAAACGCGTCGTACAGACATAATAATTAGTTTCTTAGTGGTTTTTGAACCAAAAACTGATTTTTCGAAACTTCGACCTCGAATAACTCGAAACGGGTAAATCGGGACGAGTTTTGTGTAAGTTCTAAAGTTAGAAAGAATTTGATTGTCGATATCTTGAGCTCTTACAGGGTGTTGAACGAATTTTGCCGCCATTTTTGCTAATTTTGCTGGGCTAAATGTAATCCCCGCAACTAGCAAATCGTATGCAAATCATTATTCCATGCATAGTTTATGCTCAACTAACCTTGATCAAAATTTGGGAGCTTCGTAGATAATCTTGTACATACAGGTCAATGATGTAAAGTGACCTTCGAATAAGTCTAAATTCGCCCACCCAAACTGTATGCAAATGTTATGGCATTGATTCATGGGTCGAAATGAAGGAATTTACCAAAGGGCATACCATCGTAAATAATCTAAGAGAAATGTCGGTTAACGGTAACTTGCGGTCCGTATGCCGCCCTTCGGGACCGACCTAGACGTATGCAAATCGGCTAGCGCCCGGTTAATTTGGCGAGATGCGACTATTCCAATGAATTTTAAAGCTTCTTCTATAATACAATTTTCAACATTACTTTCAACAGGAAGTTGATTGATTAGGGAGATGGGCGACCGGGTACCGATTCAACTAACCACTTTTTTCCCGATAATCCAACTCAATCTTCATGTCTCTTGAAGGGCATACCTTCGTAGATAATCGACACCCCTAGTGTTATGGGCCAACGGTCTATATATACAAAGGAGTTGAATAAGGTTTTCATGGCATGAATGGAGGTGAACATTTTACAATGTCTAAGAATAAATCCTAATGTTCTACATATTACATTTTGATACAACACAGTTATTGCCAAGAGTTTCATTCTTTCATAGATTGATATTCAAAAGGAGGCATTCAAATGGACTCACATTGACCAGTCCAGTCATGATTTTGGTCAGATGATCGTCGGTGACCTCGTTGGGATTCGCCTCGATCAGCTTGGTGAGCATCTTGATGGCCCCCAAAAGGGCCGGATAGGGACTCGTCCTGATGAAGGGGGCGAGGGTGGCGACCACCGTCTCGAACGGACAGACCACCATCGCGGCGGCGGTCGCTTCGGCCTCCTTCATAACCTGGATTCATATATACAGTGTGACCCACTTCTAATGGAAACACCCCTGTATCTTACGTAATCGTTGGGTAAGGATCCTGAAGTTTGCTGGAGCAAGAGATATACCAAAAATGCACTTTATGACCAAGTGGGGTCATCTTCAGTAATATACACTGCTCGCCCACAGCCATGGAACCATCCCAATATCCGGAAAATTATATTAGGAGTCAAAATATGTCGAAAATCACTTCAAATTCGGAATCAGGACGCCCAATTCACTAACTATTCATATTTTTCCTGGAAAATTTTCAGTTTATATCACTGAAGATGACCCCACTTGGTCATAGAGTGCATTTTTATCGCTCGCTCCAGCAAATTTCAGGATCCTTACCCAACGATTACGTAAGATACAGTGGTGTTTCCATTAGAAGTGGGTCACACTGTATATATTTTAAATTTAGTTTTTTTTTTCAATTCATACAGATGTTACCGATTTATACTGATTTTTTTCTCATATATGGATATAACTGGCTCTGAAATCACATAAATGTGGTCAAAAAGTATATTTTTCTACAAACGTCAAAAATGCGAAGTGACACTTCTCTTCAGTTTCCTACGTTACCACGACACCATGTGCGAAGCAGTGTGCGAAGTAAAATGATATGTGAAGTACATACTTCGCGCAATGTTATGTAAACTATATGAGATTTTTGTATTTAGACTTTTTATGGTCCTCAATCGACCAAATATCCAAGAAATCATTAATTTTTTAATGTTTCACAATATTTCTTTTCTACAGCTATAACACAAAATTGATCTCGTTTTACTGTGTTCGATACATCAATGAGGTACTTTGAATGTTATCAATTTTATTTCCGTATTTGATATCACAATTATTTCAATGTGTTATTATTTCAAAAAAATCCCATCGATCATGGAATGTCAAATTGCAAGCAATGACAGCTCTGTCTAATAGAGGAGCATTACTTAAGAGGAACTCAAATGGCAACAAGACGAAGAAATAAAAAATGCCGCTGTTATCACTACCATTCCGTGCTCGTTAAACAATATATACTATTTTTTTCTTTTGAAGCGCATGAAAGGAAATTCCTATAATGTTCATAGATTACGTGCGTACCAAGGAAGGAAAGGGAGAGGCATTTCAAGCCAATTCAACACTATTTTTTAAATTAAGCTATGCAGATTACTACTCGAGAACTACATTTTTGGCACTCAGATGTCCACAAAACTGTCCCATTTCCCATTTGAGTGATAACAGCAAATATGTTCCCAAAATGCTCAATTTGCCGAGCAGCCACGGCTTGTCCTCCCCGCACTATGGTGAGGTTGGGCTTTAGGGGAGGAGAAAAGAAGAATTGGCCAAGAGAGGCATATGAAAAAGATTGAAAACTGAAGAGTGAAGAGGATACCACCAAAGACAAGTTGAAGATGAATGAGTATCCGGCTAGGGTATCTCGGGATTGCCATTTCCGTACACCCAAGTTGTGAGCCCCTGAGGGAGGTAAAAGTTGAGTTATTTTCCAAAAAAATACACACCAAGAACAAATGTTATCACACACAGATTTGAAAATAAATGAATTGAAACACACAATAATTATTATTGTTTATTCGTATGCTTACCTCTTTTTTCTCTACAGTGTGCGCATCCAGTACCCTCATAATCAACAATTCTACAAAGTTGCTCCAACAAGGTTTCATATTCGGAGCCTCGAAAACGGCCCTGAGAATTTGCAAAACCGCAACTTGAATACCGGCATCTTCTTTTTCGTTCAAATTGTCGATCAGCAAACGAAGGATTTTCCTACAGAAAACAGTACAAGTGATGTTTTGAAGGGTCCGACTTTTTGACAAGTTTCATACATTTTAATATTCTTGTGAGCTGAGAAAGAAACCTGATGGTTACAATATACACATATCAACAAGAAGAATGGAGATAAAAAACATTGCGAAATTGATCGCCCTGTACCTTTTAATTCTTGTCCAATTCTGCTGAGAACATTTTGATATACATACTTGTTTATTTATTTTTAATTTATTTATTTATTGAATAAATAACTTCCAGGCAGAATAGGCTCTGGTATCTATAGGTATACATTTCATCAGTCAAAATACATCAACAACTATACATTGGCGAACAAAGAATAATATTTGTAGAAAAAACATAACTAATTTTATGCAGTTCGCTCAGAAATAATCAGTTTCTTAAATTTATTTTTGAATGTTCTTATATTTCTGCAATTTTTATATTGGCAGGTAGTTTAATGAATTCAGTTAAGGCTGAATGAGAAAATCTTTCTTATCCGAGTATGAAGCTAGCGGCGTCAAGATGAAACAAATTATATGTCTAGTTTCATGATTATGCATTTCAGAATTCAAAATAATATTCGACTTCAATTTCTTATTTATGAAAAATTTATATGAAATTTTAAGAGTTTCAATCCTATATATTTCATCTAAAGAGTATTTGTTATTTCATATGATTGATTGGATGGTGTATCAAATGGATGACGTTACAGTACTTTTAACGATTTTCTATATAATGTTGATATTTTATTTATTTATTAAATGATTGATACGACTCATAATAGGAGAACTGGCTGCAGATTTCTACCGTCATCTGATATCGAAATGACATATGTCCCAAATCAAAGTAAAATGATTGAATTCGCCGAAAATTTCACTTGTCGAGAATACAATAGACTTACTTGAAGTTCTTCTTGACGTGTTCAACTTGGCCACTCCTGATCATTTCGTATAACTGATAGAGCAATTTTTTCTTTTCCTCTTTTGATATGGGTACATCTATTAAACATTTTTCTATGACGCTTGCTATGACTTGTTCCGAGTCTTTTATTTCTCCTGTAACAGAAAAAACATGAAATTTAATTAGTTCAAAACCTGACACTAATAAAACTTTATCAAAGATCATGTTGTATGTGGTAATATCAACTTTGACAACAATTGAATATTGATCAGTCTACTTCATAAACTAACCTCCATGAACAAGTAAAAGAAGTGAAGGAGATAAAAGAGGTGAAAGAGGTAAGAGAGGTAAAAGAGATGAAAGCACAGGAGGTGGAATAGGTAAAGGAGATGAAGGAGTGCAGAAAGCTGAGGACCTTCTATGAAACATATTTGTTAAAAATTGTTTGATTATTTCTATGATCCGAAAACCCTATTATTAATTCACTTGTTTAAAGTAATGAAACGTATTCTAATATATTTACTTCATATATTTCAACTTGGAGATAAGGATGTTCCTGTCGTATTATTAAAACCAGTTTTATTCTGATGTTTTATGCATCAACGGAAATAGAATATACAGGGTGTGTCAGGATTAACTCGACTAACTTTGACAATCGATAGCAAAAATCGAAATATTATACACGTATTGTTTTTGTTTTGCCGTGGAGAAACTTGTTTTCATTACACTGTGTGTCAAAGTTCGCATAAATTTTTTGTTTTTATATTCTATCTCTGTTGAAACATAACCTAGCGATTTGAAATTTGGGTGAGCACTTTTCTATCGGCAATATGAACAGTTCTTATCAATAAAGGGGACTAAGCTACACTGGATGTTTTCTTTTCCTATCCACTGATATAACCCTATAGATTTTTTCCAGTGGGACACTATAATCACAGATTGCACTTTTTTTCTTTAATAAGCTTGATGAAATGATGACAAAACTTTCCGAAAAATTCACTAAAATAATTTTGGTAGGAGATGTAAACGCATTCTTCAAACAAATCCAAACTTCACACCATACTCAATTCTTTTGGACTTGTACCTACTATATTTCAATACACCAAGGTTGTTAATGGGTCAAAAAGCTGCATCGATAACATATTCAATTATCTAGAAAAGGAGTGCTACGAAATAGGTGTTATCTCATCACTACGGTAAATTTATAAACTTGGAAAGCCCCAAGGAAAACAATATGCTTCTCATGAAAAGATGCATCACTGCAATGGGCCTACAAGAGGTACTTAATTCCCTGAATTCAGTAAATTGGACAGCTTTCTATAAGTCAAATAACATTGATAATATGACACGATTCCTACAAAATTGCTATTCTTCGCTAGTAGAAAAGCATTTTCCTTTGAAGAAAATAAGCAAAAAACACTTTAGCAGCCCTTATCTACCAGCTGATCGTGCAGCTAATAGCCGCGTGACACAATATACTATATTGTCCACCAAGACACGCCACTGGAACATGAGGTCAGGGTTGGTAGAACTGATCAATATATTCCTTACTTTCGTCATTTGGCATCTTCCTATGATATCTTCATGTCCATCAATCTGAGAATTGGTCCTAAAATTCCACATTGAAAGGAAAAAAACCCATATCTGGGTTACTGACTGTTTCATAAAAAACAAGTTCATAGTTATCCCCTAGAGGGAGGGTGTCAAGTTTTCAAATGCATATGTGAGGATCAGTGAATAAATAGCTAGCTGTTCAGTGTTTGGTTCCTTCGGAAAGAACTGGGCACTTAATATCAATTTGTATTACAAACTTCATTATACTTAGCCTCTCCATCAGGCTTGAAGGGATATCAGCATCCCACTTGAAGGATTTTTATATCCACCACTTCTTACCCTACAAAAATTTAGTAATAGCCCGCCTATGAAGGGTGACAGCTTTCCCCTATATGGTACAACCCCAATATGTCTAAGCTGAGCACTCACCTAAACTCCTAAAACCATTAGAATCAGTCTCTGTAACTCCATTGACAGCTGCATAAGGTAAAGACCTCGGCCCCGACCTGATGTGGAAGTTCGGCCTGATATTGAGCTCCTCCATTCTCTCCTCTATGTTGACATCCTTGCCGACATCGTTGCCGATGGACATTTGCGATATACCCGAGTCCTGTGACGTCGTATCTCTATCCCTATCTAACTTGGAACCTGTTTAATATTGGAAATGTATATTTTCTAATATTCAATACGAAACTGTCAATTTTTGTAAACGAAACAAACATAAACATAAGATTTTGTGATAGCTCATAACATTCCAAATATCCAAAGGTGTAAAAAATTAGATAAAAACTCCAGGTCTGAGAACAAGTTGATAATGGTATCTGGAAGACGAAACTAAGACTAGAGGAAGAGAGGAAAAGGGGCCATGAAAAATTGAAATTTATTTCGATCAATTTCTTCAAATACTCTAAAAACAAAAGGGTTTTTGGAAATTTAGTTTTTTGTTCGAATATACTCCAAACAATTCGGAACATTTCAAATTCTAAAACGGCATTTTGTTACGAATTGAATTGCGCAATTTTGCCATAATTTAACCGACCCTGTATCTCTTATGGTTTACGAGATCCCAATGACGAGGTTCGAATTCCAGCTACCCTGTACAAAGAGAAAAAAATACCTCAATCAAAGCTAAATTAACTTCATTCCAAAAATATATTGGTTCAATTAATGAAAAGCCTCCGCTTAATAATCTAGATGTTTTTTTCAAATTGAACAGACTTTCTAAAGTCGATTTATTGTTAGGAGAATTTGATACTCAAAATTGAATTAAGTGTCGAAGATGCTGACTGTGAAGAAGAATGGGCATGTTACAGAGAATCCGCTGTATTCTACTGCAACCCTCTGTATTCTAACTAATACCTGTTGTCGATAGAAGGCTGATGATTTTTGCTGATGTTGTAATGAATAAGTTTGTCACATAAATAAATCTTTTCAGCAATATTTTCACGAGTAGAACATACGGTATATTAGTAATTTCGAACCATGAGGGTTTCATAAACATTAAGTTAATCAAATCATCCGTTGACATTGAACTATGAATACTGACCAAGGAACTCTAATGAGAAACGTGCAAATCTAATAGAATGATGTATATAAATAATGGATGTGAGGGTTCCGAAGTTAGTCTGGTCTGGGGCTACTCTTGACTTGACAACAGCTCGTCCTAATGGTCATTATAATGTAAGTTAGGTCTTTATATTCATTGTTGTTTTCTCATATTTATCATCACTACCCATAATATTCCATGCTTCAATAAATATTGTTATGTGAATATAGTCTCATACTTTCAGCTACCCCTAAACTATTAAACCACGAATTACCCCTTATGAATCGATATGGATTGCTAAACCATCTATCATATCGTGAAAATATCCGCAATTTTAATAACTTTCATACAGTCCAAAATTGAAGAGCCTTGGTCCTTCGAGCCGGATATTTGAAACAATTAGGCTATAAATTCAAGTTACCTGACGTCTCGAAACTGTAATTCTGTATCTCCGCCGTGGTCCGCCTGAGGCTGCGGTAGACCTCCTCCTGGTCCGGCCCGTCCCTGAGCGGTGACACGCCGGGCGAGAGGCACTTCGGGCTGCCGGCCGCCGCCATCGGGCTGCCCGGCTCGCTACCCGTCGAGCTCTTGCGCATGTGGTGGTGGACGACGTGCTGGGCGAGGTCTTGCGTCTCCTTCGGCAGTTCCGTCAGCATCATGGTCACCTGGCGAGAAAATAATAATAATATAATATATTTCGGAGAAAGACAAAGGAAAAACATAAAAAATAAACAATGTCAACGTATTTTGTACATTGAAAATTGATTACACATTGTTGAGACTTACGCAAACTTCAAAGCTGCATATTATGATGGGTGTTTTTCAGTGTCAATCTATGTATAGGGAAACACGTAGATTTCGCTTTTGAGGGGGACACGTAGATTTTTGCTATTGAGGGGAGCACATTTTATATATATATATTCTTCGGTCTGTGCCTTTAACCCACTAGCGAAGGGGTGCCATTACTAAAATTTCAAATGGAAAATGGGATCGAGTGATACATCATTTGAAAGGTAGCAAAAATTATCCGTCTTATGATACTATAATTGTTGGAAGTTACTAAAACAGTTGATGAGAAAACAGCTCTAAGACCATTAACCTGATAATTTTGCAATTAATGACAAAAGAAATACAAATTGGAACATTTTAAATCAGTAGTACGTTTCAATGTTGTTACTTGTAACAGTGCTTAGCGAGAAGAGGGCAAATAAACTGTTGAACTGATTTATTAAAACGTTACCTTCGACCAATGTTGAAAATGTGACCCATCTGCTTTCATATTGGGAAGACTGTCCTTAAACAAATTTCAAGGAATAGGGTATCTTTGAAAAATAATTTTGTGTCCGTTCAAATGATGTATCACGACCCCACTTTCCATTTGAAATTTTAGGTTTGTGACACTCCCTCGCTAGGGGTTTAAAGGCACAGGATGAAAAGTACGTCTAAAAGGTGTCCCTCTCAAAAGCAGAATCTACGTGTGGGAGCATTCTAACAAATCAAAAAAAAAAAGAAAAAAAAAAGGAGAAGAGCTAGGTGCATACTTTTCATTGGAGCATTCATTTCTCCACCACTAGCTCTAGAAGCTACCATTATTTAGTCATTTTCAAGTGTGTTTTTGCTATAAAGGTAGTATTCGTCATTTTATATGAACCACTACTTAATGAAGATATAGCCACCTCTGATATAATTAACCGGAATTCACTTTTCTTATGCAAGATTCGCAAGAATGGCACTCGAATCTAGTAGGTATTTATCATAACGACTTGTCATATGCTGTCATGGTCATGACTGTTATGAATATTTACACCACAAAAATATGACGATTTTTTTTCTAAATTGGGTGTTCATTTTGACAGTATTCATGTGATCACTTCGTCTCATGAGTATGATTTTCAGAATTGACATTGAAGGTGATATTTGAGTGATTTTTTCAATTTTTAATGAAATGCAAGAAAATATACTTTGAAGAGAGTCATTGGTTTGTATAGTCTAGATGTCGATTCCAAAAATGGTAGTTGTCTTTGAATATGCGATGACTGGTCTATAGTTAAATATTGAATTTTTTTTAGGATTTATAAAAAAATCTCGAATTTCAGAGGATCGATTTGGTAATCGGGTATCTCTTTTCAACATGAACATGAAAGAGGATTTGTCGAAATTTAGTGTCATTGATAACAATATCATCAAGCCATAATGTAATTGAAGTGAGAACTTGATCTATTCATTTAATTTTATATTTTTTCTATAATGAATAAAGAGTTTTGTCATCTGCAAATAATTTTAAATTACTTTGCAATTTCAAACTTGTGATAGAAATTATATAAATAAGAAATAAATCGGTCCGAAAATTGATATCAGGGGCTCACCATACAACATGTTTCTTATTGAAGAAAATGAGTCTCTCATAAGTTAACAAAAAAGTTGAAAATATTTCCGTTTCCAGTTCCATAAAAATTGTTGAAATAAAAATATGAAGTCAAATGAACCTGTCATAATGCCTGTGAATTTGGTTTGAATCTTTGCTTCGCCATTTTTACAAAATTGGCGATATAGAGAGTTGTCCTTCTAACTGGAAGTGATCACATCATTTGAATTCCTATACAAGAATCACTAAATTATGATGGGCACCAACACAATGAGAACAAAAGAATATAAATACCTGAGGAGTGTTGCAGTTCCACAACGCGACCAAACACAGCCTGGCAGCATGCCTCGTCTCACTGGACTTCATGTCTTGAGCAAACGAAATGATCTTCAGCAGAGCTTGATTGGCTAAATTCTGCGAAAGGTACTGAGCAGCGTCCGGGTTGGTGCAGAGCGAGCTCAAAAAATTCATGACGACCGTCTTGACGCGCGCATTCGGCGTTTGCGTAGCGTCCACCAGAAACCGATAAACGTTCCCGATGAGCGACTTGACGTGGAAGCTGTGCTTGATCAGATCCAAGGTGGCCATGAGCTTGCTCTGTATCGAGCTCAGCGTCTCGGTGCCGATTTTCAGGAAGACTCGCTGCAGCAGCACGTACAACCAACAGTCCAATTGGCCCTTGTACGTTTTGATGACCTCGTGTAGGGTGTCCAGGAAGACGCTTACGCCTTTCGTGTGCGAGTCCATGAACATTCTGGTGAATATTTCGGTGAGGTGTTTCAGTTCGCCTTCCGTCAATTGGATTTCGTTGGCGAGGTAATACTGTAGGGAGAGTAAGCCGTCTTTGCGTTCTTGCCAGTTGGTGCTTGTGCACATCATCATAATTTGGTTGATGTCCTATATGGAATGTAATAGAGTCACTGGATGGTATTATTTAGATGAGAGTTCGGACACAGAAATGACAGCTGTTAGTGTTTTTGAATGTTTAGATTCATTAAGAATAATCCTGCATTGTGACAACAGCTTCATAGTCGTTCCGCGCTTTTTCATCCAAAATTGTTTGAATTTGACAATAAATTTTTTATTTTTTCTTGGTTTATTCAAAATTACAATACTTGATTTCAGTTTGACGTACAGCTAGGTTATCAATTATGAAGCCAATCAAAATCCTTCAAACCAAAATTATTAAATGTATATACAAACTAGATTACTTCGAACCAACAAGAAATCTTTATAAACCTAGGCAATTGTTAGATATTAACTCCATTTACAATTCAATTTCGTGAACAATGAAGCAACCGAATTATCTCGAATAGTCAGAACATCGTGATATTACTTATGAAAATAGTTCTGAACTATATTGTAACAACGACAGGTCATTCATTGAGATCTCAAGAAACGTGAAACATTAATCAATCAGCTATATGCCACGACGAACATTGAATTATATCTATTGAACACACACGATAAGAGTTTGAAAATAAAATATAAAAACTTCAGTTTATGCCAGTATACTTCTCCTATACATTCCAATTTTCATTTCAATGCTGAATATATTGGTAAGTTATATTTCTATATCATTATACATCATATTATTTATCCGATTTGAAGAAGAATGTCAATTCTCAATTTAGGAGGATTTTATTTTGTATTTCTCATGTTCCCCTCTTGAATGTTCATCAGATATAATTCAATGTTCGACGTGGCAAATAGCCAGGAAAGTAGTTGTTTTCTGTTGAATATTCAGAATGATGTGTGCATGTACATATGTTTTGTCTGAAGGAGAATGCAAATTCTCATTTCAGAAGTTTTTATATTTTATTTTCAAACTCTTATCGTGTGTGTTCAATAGATATAATTCAATGTTCGTCGTGGCATATAGCCAGGAAAGTAGTTGTTTTCTATTGAATAAACTGAAAAAGAGTAGATATTCTCATCACATAGAGAATGCGAATTCTCAATGTATTGCTTCATATAAATATATATCCATTTTTGTATGTTCATAATTGATCTGAGAATATTCCTTTTCAACACTTTCATACCCAATCAGGGGGTTCAAACTTGAACGATGGAAACTTGTGATTTTTATAGACCTCTAATCGCAGATTCGTGATAAAGTCTCAATTCAGAATTTCTTTCCACGCCCTGTATGATGAATGTCAATTTATCATACACCCAAAAGCACGAAAAAGCTCCAACTCTCCAGCTTCCACAAGATGAGAATCGATGTTTTATCATAGCTGAAAAAATGTTTTTTGAACGATATTATGACTATGACTATGGGAATTTATAATATATTTTTCTGATATTTAGTCACATTATTTGTTATGTCACATATATTTTGATTCGACTATAGAGCACTTTGAAAATGTAAATTTACATGAGAGTTCGCAGCATTTCTTCACCTAACCTTTTTCTATTTTTCGGTTCTTGAGATCTCAACGATGAGCACTTACTAATCCAGTGAGTTGAAACTCATATCTAGGTTTAATAATATGTTAATCTAACTTCACATAGTCATGCAAAGATATTGTTTTTCAGTTGTTTCAATATCATGCTAGGATTTGAGAAAAAACGATGTTATTCTATTGTGTCAGTTTAACAGAATAATACTCTCGCTTCGCAGTCGGATTATTTCAACTGTCAAACTGACACTCTTTGTAATTATGCAACAAGTTATCGATGTATAACGCGAATATTTTGAAGTACTTATATTATTACTATTGAAAATAAGAAAATTTGGATTATTTCCATGAACAGGAAATCATGAAAAAATTCTATGGTTAGAGAAAGGACGTTGCTTACGGTGAATTCCAAAATTTCCTCTCAATGAGGATGTTACATGCCTGAGGGATATTTCATTCACATTACCCGTCATGGTTAAAGCTGATAAACCCATTTCATTGTGTTTAACAGTGACGTCATTTCCGTTAGGGTACACTTTCCCTACCTGCCCTTGGGTTTACCATAGTTTACAAAAAATGATTGTGAAAAATGGAGGATATGATGGAAATATTCGAATCGAAAATGAATGGAGTGAATGGAAGTAAGATACACGGGTAAACTGTGGAAATGGGTATAGTTAATGTTGACGTCATTATGACGTAGTTACTTCTCACCACCTTCACCTAAATACTCTAACTGGGTTCAACAGGGAATGTGAATGAAATATCCCTCTATGGTGTAAGACGATATTATACACATTAGTGGAACAACCAAATAGTGCTGGAAGATAAAGGGTGTGCAAAAAGCAGTTCGCAGCCAAGAAGCGTTAAATGCAGCCAAGAAGCTATTTTTTTTTATTCTCTGAACTTACTCGGGACGGTTCCCACATGTCCCTGCTCGATAACCTTTGCTGAGAGCCACTCCATGAGTATGACTGATACACAAAATGATAATAAGCATACAAAAAAACTCCAGTGAATGGCAAATCAAAATGATGAAGCTAATTCACGAATATTCAAACTCCAGGATTTTCAACAAAAAGGGCGATAAAAATCCCGACTGGAATTTAGTCAACTTGTTTACAAATAATGAGAAATCTTATAGCGTTTTCCACTCGCTGTACTGAGTCGAACGTTATTCAAAGTGATGTTGAAACACGATTTCCACTGGCTGCAAACTTGCTGTATGCTCGCTCAGAGTTCGAATTTTCAGATCTCATAACCTTGAATCATCAGGTGCATTGAGAATATATCTTATCTCATTGAAGTTTATTCTTGAACTCACAACAGCATTCACCAAATAATCATATCAACCTGAACGTTCTTTGCAGCGAATAAAACTTACATTAGATATGTTTCGATGAATTTGGTTCAGAAAAAACACATTCTGTATAGCCAATCTCAGAAAAATGTACTTTTTAGTTGATGTGATCAATTTTGATTTCCACAGCTATGTGCTGGAGCAGCACTTTATGAGAACATCGAGCCACTTGTAGTTGCTCGGTACTAGGACGTTCTAAAAATCGGCGAGTAGAAAACGCTATTATATTATGTTGCAAAATTTCAGGTTTCAATTTGGCCTACTTTTTAAAATACAGTTCTCAAACTAAATAAACCAACTCCGGATGCTCCTTTATTTTCTGGAATCCAAAGACTTTTGGAATTAAATAGTTGATTATCCGTCAGATCTACCACAATAATGAAAATATATAATATGTAATATGCTAACCATTTAGAGTTGGATAAAATAGTTTTAAGTGGGAGATGCGCGATTTTTGATATTCAGAGAAAGATAGCAGTAACTCAGTTATAATTTAGATTTACGACAAAAATGGATATGGATTCGGAATTCCAAAGTCACTATATCATGAGACTTTGACCATTTTTTTAATTTAGCGCAAAATATAAACTGCGGGAAACACAGAACAATTATATCATCGCAAAAACAGACCATACAGTTTATAGGTTTTACTTTATACACTGTGTATACTTTAATCATAACATCATGGTAATGTTTGACTCAGTGGCGCAATTACGGGGGGGGCATGGGGTCTGGAGTTCCCCGCTCCCAGAGCTAACTGAAAAACCGAAACTATCTGGTAAACAATTCTAATAATATTACATCTTCTCAACCTGAACTAAGACCATTCTCTTGGCCATCCCAACACGGCCCAAACTCTCTTGGGCACCTTTACTACCCGCCTACCTCTCAAATCTATCTATCCGACTAACCCTGATTAGTTTTTTATTCTCCATTCGTGATGTTGATTAAATTATTGTATTCTTTTAATCATAATATTTGAATGTTTATTCATCAGAGGTTAATGGATTATAAATTCGATTACACTGGTGGGTTCTAAAACTCGCTTTCATGACAATATATTCAGAATCCATCTGTAAGTTTACGTTAGATAAAACTAATAGAAAGTTACGAAACCAGTTAGGAACGTCATTTAATGTGACTATGACATGAGTTCTACCGATCGTGTACAAAACTTAGTAGGCAAGTGACTTCAACCGTCACTTTAAAGTATCAGTCAAGCAATAATACGTCTCAAATCAGAGACGGAATTCACGAAATAGATTCTTTTGATACTTTCCTTAGTGAAAAATGGCTAATATTTCAGATTTCCCAAGTGATATTGAGGAAGTAGTATAAAATGTAGTATTCTCCCCGTCCATCTCTATTTTCATCAAGTAATTGGTTTGAAATGAACATTTCATCACCAGTTATGTAATGTTTTACTTCACACAACCGGTTAAGTGAAGTAAGAAGATTCCAAACTACATTTCATGTCAAAATTAGAAAAACAAGCATACCGACGCATTCTGAGTGGTCTGTTTAGTGTGTTGAGAACTGTACGTCTATTAGGTAGTAGGTATTCATTTTAAAAACGATCTTCCATTTTTATTCCCCACCTGCAAATGAAATGAAATCCCTTCAAAACCAACCCCTTTGAATGTAAAAAAAATTAAGAAGATTGTCATTATGACGATTGATGAATCAATAAAAAAAATGCTAGAAAAATAAGCCAATGTTGCCATGCCTTTTGACGATATATGATATATGATAAAATCACTTACATCGCAAGGCCTTTTGAACGATTCGAAAGATCGCTCCGATCTTTCCGAACACACGCTAGACGTCTCGGATTCGTCAGACTGATTGTCAATGGAGCGCAACGTCCTTCTGGGACTCCTGAAGGGATCCGACGAGCTCTGGAACAAATTCGATTGGAAACATGAGATACAAGCGAAAATTATATTTTACAAAGTAGTCCATAACTCATCATGGGTAACTTCGAAAATATGGTCAAACAAGAAAGAAAAACAATGATTGGCTTTCTGATAAAAAATTTTTCTTCTTGGGAAAATGTTTGAACTCGAATGAGATGATTCAACTCAACTTACTTCTACACCAAAATGTTCATTAAGACATCAGAAGAATTCGACCGACAACGCTTCACAAGTGATTTTTCCTTGTTTGTTATTGTCAAAAGAATGTTTTTATGAGATAAAAAAAAATCAAGGTGGAGGATCCAATATGGCGGACGAGTTTTGTAATTAAAATCGGGTTCTATTAAAAAATGGTATCTGGGGTGTTTTGAGGTCGGAGTTTAGGATTATTTCCTCAAAATTTGAAAATTCAAGATGGTGCATCCAATATCGCGGACGAATATTATTGTAATTATGATCCGATTCTGTTCAAAATGGGTATCTGGGGGTTTTCGGTTTCGGATATTATGATTCTTTCGTCAAATTGTGGAAATTCAAGATGGCAGATCAAATAAGGCATACGAGTTTATTAATTATGATCCGATTTTATTTGAAATTGGTATCTGAGGTATTCAATGTGTCGAACGAGCTTTGTAATAAATAGTGTTTAGAAAAACTAATAAAACATGCTTTCATTGATAGCAAAAATAAGAAGAAGTATAAAATGAATAATAGTTTAGAAAACTAGAGGTAGATTACCGACCTGAAAAGAAGTGGAAAATAAATAGTAATATGAAAAACTAAGAAAATACGCTTTTATGGTTACTCAAACTTAACAGAAGTAGAAAATAAAATAAAAAATATGTTGTTGAATATACAACTGGAACACTATTTTCTAGAAATGATGTACATAGCAAAACAACGTTTACCGGGTCAGCTATAATCAATAAAATGACTCGAAATAAATTCAATATTTCTGTCTTTCTTTCAAATTTATTTTAGTAAGTAGCGCAGGTTACGGCTACTAATTCATGATTTCTCAATTATGTATTGGTAATAACCTCAATTAGCTATAAAAAATCCATTGTCTCGTAATTTTTCCTCTTATATGTTGTGTCTTAATGTTAAGTTGTTAATAATATTAATTCACATTATATAGAGGAGATTTGGTCTGGAAAACATGACAACACAGGACTGTGGGCGCTGTCTTGTCAGTTCTCAGCATTGACCACAGAATTGCCGAGTCTCTATAGCCAATATTTACATGATGTTTTGTTATAGAGTATAAGAAATATTTTGACAGGCTGGTAGCTAGAAAAAGTCACAAATTGATAAATATAACATAATGACTTCCTCAGGTCAAATGAAATATTTTATTTGGATGTAGTTTCATTAACAATAGGTCTAACATGTTTTTGATAAATTGATTATAATAGGTGACTTGGAAGAGTATCTGACCAATAATGAAACAGCATAAGAACTGACGTCAACATATATCGGACGTATCGAGGAACAACTTCAAACAATGCATAGACACATTATTTATATCAGAAACGCGTAAGAAGTAATGCAAAAATCAATTCAGGTCCCTAACAATACAGTGAAGTAATTGCCCATTGTACAAAACTGGAACTAAATAACATTTATGAATTATTTTTAGAAAAGTTTTACAATAAAATCGTTATGCTCGCGGTCATGACGACTAGATTTTCATTAGAATAAAAAATATTCGCTTTCAAAATGATTCTACAGAATTGAATGTTATGATTGAAAAACATTGCTGGTGGTGGAATAGACCACTAATTTGCTACTCACGAGAACGTCGGCTAATGCATTCTCGGCCTCTCTGCTCTGTTGCAGAATTTTCTGTGCCAACACCGGTCTCGAAGCGGGACTCAACGGCGGCCTGTCGTTCCCCCTCCGTAGCCTTGTCAAACTCGTGTTGCCCCTGTTGGGACTCGTTTCTCGAGACGTGTCCCTGAAAAGAAGAATATAATTGATTTTTGGTTGAATAAAAAGGTGGAAGATATTCGCGGAAGATTGTGACTGGCTGAGGCTGAACGATCTTCGAATTTTACACCTACTATTGATTGATTGATTGATTGTCTTTATTACCCCAAGAAACATAGTTGTTTATAATAGGGATACATAAACAATATACATAATGTTATACATACAATTATGAAATTATAATAAGATATAACAAGTAAAAAAAAATACAAATAATCATGACTCATAATCATAAAGTTCTAACAAGGAGAACACCCGAATATCTTTTAGGAAATCTTGAGACATTCTCAAATCTAAACAATCTCAGAAATCGAAATAGACACGTTCTTCTAAGTGTTTGGAGGATGCAGGACAAATGGGGAAGTTTCCTTCGGATGAATTTTCATAAAATAAGTTCGGAACTCTCCAGTTTTATGTCCACGCTGTACGAAATGGCGAACGATAAAGTCCAAGTCGTTTTCATTTTCAAATTAAAGCAATTTCTAATTTTCGGGGCGGCAAACTGTGACGTACATTCTGAATCTAGTCTGAAAATAGCTGATGGTGAAGAATATAGCTAGCGAATAGGTATCGAATAAGAAACGAATGAAAAAAATAGAAGAAGAAGTAAAATTGCTAAACAAAAACATACATAACTTGGCTTCATTCTGACAAGATATGGTTTTGTTATTTATGCATTGAAATATCTCGAATAGAGCTCGATCCTAAACGAAAATGTCATTGAATCAATGAATCACTATCGGCTACATTCAATGATACTATCCTTCCTAATTTACTGCCATCGGTCAGAACAGAATGAAGCCGGCACCCATTATGCGCTGTTGCAAGATATAATCTGCAACAATCCTAGAAAATAGATCCGTTTTATTAAGGAACGAATTCATTAGCAAAAAAATTACTGACAAGTTATGAATAACATATTGTAATATAACGATAGTGAAAAGTTATAGATACTATCCCAAAATATCTCAATTTATCTTTATTAGTAATCAACTTCATTCAGCCAATGAGAGATTTATGGGAATTATTCATAATACTTGACAAAGTAGGTTTGAAGAACCTATTACATCCCATTGCTGTGCTATGATATAGTTATTATGCATTCAAAGAACAATTTCCGAAAATCTAGACATAATGATAATGTCGGCAACGTCGTACTGACACAGGCGATCGTATTTTAACTCTGTGTGAATGTGGATTTTCAGAAAATACGTCATGGGAATGGTGGAGGAGCCAAGTTCCTCTTTTATTAATTTTTTTCTGAATTGAAATTTCATCTTACGAAAAAAAGAAAAAATACGTATATATTAATTTTTTAAAAACTTCACAGTTAGATAAAAACCTCAATATAGGAAACTTCCCCATTGTAGGGAAGCAAAAAGAGTTTGCGCACAGTGTTATTCGCATATAAAAGTTCCCGATGCAAAAATTTTTCCAAGTTGTTTGCTTGTGAAAACAATTGCGATAACAATGGTTGCGAAGTAACTAATATTCAAGACATTCTTGTAAAAATCATAGGTAATATTTTTGTCAATCACGAAACGTTCACTATAAACCGGTATAACTCAGAAATGACTGAAATAAATAGGTTCCAGTAGATTACAAGAAAGTTTATAAATATAAATATCATCAGTAAATAACAGTCAATGCAATCGAATTATATTTTCGACGCTCAGCTCTTAGTAGGAGTTGAATTTTTTGAACTTCGAAAAAAATCTACTTGACCTCATCCATCGACTACTTTATACAGAAATTGAATATTTCTATTCGTTTTCGAGATATTGGCGTGCGGAGTTTCAAGTGAAAAACCCTGTATTATTGTTTATTGAGAAACTAGCTTCCAATCAGAGATCAAATTCTGGTATGAGGAAGTTGCTTACAAACAACAATAATAAAATAACATAAGGTGACAACAACGACAAAAAAGTCAAAAAAAATCTAAAGTGCTAAATCCATCAAGTCATAAAAAATAGCAACAGGGACTAATCAGTAGATGGCAAAGTATCAATTTTATCCATTTGGTTATAAAATCATGTTTTTTTATTTCAATTTTAAATTTTGAAATATGTGCAATTTTTAATATTATGTGGTAATTTATTGAATTCAGCTAGAGCAGCGTGGGTAAATTTTTGGCCAATTATTGAAGTAGCAGAATCAAGATGAAATAAGTTTAATTGTCCCGTGTGATGACCATGAATTTATGAGTTTTTTATCAAAACAAAATTGGATTTCAGATTATTGTTTATAATATTATATGAAACTTTAAGAGAATCTATTTTATACAATTCATCCAATGAAAATTTTTCTGTCATCGCATACAGATCATTTGTTGGGATATCAAATGAGTGATTTCTTACAAAGTGCAGATATTTTACTGAAATAATTTTTTGAACAAGATCCCCAAACGTTTATCATATAGGTAATACGACTGAGTATACGAGAATGAAGTACTATGTTTATGACTTTTTTATCAAGTTTAGGACATCGTCGCAAAGCTCCAATGATTGGACATATTTTTTGTATCAGTACCTCTATATTCTTGTCCCATTTCAATTTTTCATCAATCCACATACCAAGATTCTTTATTTGTGTAGTTCTTTTCAATACTTTCTTTTTAATTTGGAGATTGAAACTAATATTCTGTTTATTTTTCTGATGGAATATTATATATTCAGTTTTATTGGTATTAATTTGTTTCGTATTCTTGATTCTGAATTCAATTTTTGAATATTCGCGGCAAAATCAGCACACTTGAAAACATGCTTCCCTCCGTTTGTTGTTATTGGTCACGTGAACCAATAGAATGGAATGCCGCACAATTCGCGCGCCAATTCTTAGAACAATAATTCGTGTAAAAGAATTCTAAAAGAGGCAATAAACCTTTTAATAAACTTTCTAGTAATTTGGAAATGTGGTGCATAGTCAGTAGTACTATTTTCTAATGTGTTTGGACTAATTGTGAGTCGGAAACAAATATTGGAAGCTGTGAACTGGGCCCAGTCGGAAGAATCAGAAACAAGACGCCAATTGGCAATGGTGAGTGAAGCTAACTATTTCATGTTTGCTGATTCGAAGTTTAGGTTCAAATTTGTGTATAAGTGTCAAATGCGAAACATAATTGATAAAATGCTTGAATATAGCCAAATAATAATATTTTCTAGAATGATTGAATTTTTGTTATCCTACAAAAGTACAGTATCATCTGCATATATAGTATAATTACCAGACAATCCAATTTTAGAATTGTATACTTTCTATATATTCGAAGAATTGACGAAATATCAGCAAAATTAAATATGAATGGTCTAGCTAGAGTCTAACCGATAAAGCTCACCTAGAACCCTGCGTCGATCGGGGAATGCCTGAAGACATCCTCCTCGGCCTGGGACTATCGTGGTCGGCTGCTCGCTGGTACAGATAGGCCAAACGCGAGCTGGGAGAACCCGATCTACTCGTCGCTGGAAAAAAGATTGCAGGAATCTAAAAATCATACAGAATACGTTCTGATTTATGTCGTGTACTTTGCAGTCCGGATTTTCGACAGTCTAGCAGCCACCTCAGTCACTGGACTGGACCATGCGGTGCCATGAAAAAAACAATACTTGTTTATTACGGATTTGCAACACCCATTCGCAGTGTCCCCAAACGAGGACGGTGTATTCAAATATGATTTCTATCCAGCTATGACTGTTTTTATATTATGTAATACAAAGATATCAAGCATCCACCTGTTTCAGGAGATTCCTAAGAAATGCAGTAAGTATGAAATTTTGTGATTTTGAAGCCCGCATGACCCTCCCCCTCCACCTCGAGGGCTACCAGAAGAATATTTTTTTGGAATTTCAATGAAATATTTTTGAAGAGGCCTGGTTATACTTTATAAATGACAATATTTCGAATTCAATGAATACCTTCTCAAAATTCCTAGCAAGCTCTTGGGTCGATATAAAATAAATTGACAGCCATCTGAAGAAAATGGTGTGAACGCTTCAATGACAGTGCATATACGGTCGTGAAGAGTTCCTTCTTGGTGACATTTGCGACAACTGCCAAAATTACTTGTGTAGACAAAACAAAGACGAAACAAACAGGAGCATTTCGATTACTGATTATTAAATACATCGTTTTTTATATAGTTCGAACTCCAGGATTTTTCTAGCACCTTGTATTGTTTTACGGATATTGTGAATCAATTTCAATTTGATATTATTCATTCTAGTGCATGATAACTAGCACCAGACAACCTCTTAAACGATGAGGAGCTCTTGCAGTTGATTGAAAAAGGGGTTTCTAGATGGAATATGATGTTTTTAATGTGATTGTGCGATATTTGAAACTCCATTGATTCAACTCTACTCATTTGGGGACATGTCCTAGTCATTTTGAATTCAAAACAATTATATCAGAAACATACTGCGTACAAATTCTCAGATATCAATCTCCAAAACCCTAAGTTCGTGAGCGAGATGGTTGAGATCTGTATCAACGTAATCTCAAGCGATGTGGAAGTATGAACTCAAGAGTAAATTTGAAAGAAATATTACTTACGTTGTGATTGGGAGTTTCTATTTCTTGTCCTAGCCATTCTTTCAGGAGAAGCAGTAGATATGACATCTGAAGATTTTCTAGGTCGAGCTACATATACCAACAAAATATTAATACTACAAAGACAGGAAACATAGAAAGAAATTGAAAAAAAAAACATTACATTGAATAATTATGAAGTTATTTTTTGAAAGAAATATTTTTTGATAATTGATCTATATTGTAGGAATGAGAACAGAAGAAAGAAGATTTGATGAAAGGTTATTTAGTTAAATGTATAAAACTATTATGTACCTTGTTGAGCTACCTCTCCCTCTAATGTCATACATGAAAAAAAAGCAACAATTTTACTACATTAGACTAAACGACACTAAATTACTGATAAAAAGCATTAAAAATTCGAAAGAAACCTTTGACATACAGAAAATAACGCAAAAATGAAATGAAGAAATGCAGTAACATCTCTTTAGATTTTCGAAAAACAAAATAGAATATGTCATAAATTCCTTTCGGCAAAATAAATACTGAGGTTGATTCAATGTCCATGAAACATTTTCATTAAAACTTATTTATCCTGTCATGGCCACTGAAAGAATCTCATAAAATCAAATATTAGGTATTAAGAAAGCATCACATATCAATCAACTAAATATTTCGTGAAATTATCACTCAAAATTGGTCAAGCTGAACTAAACATTATTTTGCATTAAATAATTCGAAATCAAGCAACTATGCATCCAACTATTGCATTTATCAAATCAACAAGCAGGGTGTACGAAAGTCTGAAGTATCAACTCACTAAAAATCAAATGAACATTATAAGGTTCACATTTCACAATTAATTGAAAAATTCAGAGAGAGCATTAAAACCAATTCAATAATTCAAAATTGCTAAATGTTATTACCGATGTTTTTCCTGAAAATTATACTGCACCACAGGATACAGAGACCCTAACTTGGTATAATACCAACATTTCGTTGAAAATATGCATCTGCAAAAGAGTTAGAACCACATTGATTTCAGATACTTATTTCTTCATGAAGTTTTCAGAATAGACAACAAGTAAAAGGTACATAGTCATAGACTTCAGAAGATAAACTATTGTCTAGAATTCAGTAATCTATGACATAGTTGAGGTTTTTGACAAGACTTCAGTTCAAAATTTCAGGAAATAGATTGATAACTTTCAGCCATTTTTGATATGCAAAAAAATCATAGCATTATCAATCTAAACCTAGTAGGCGAAGTATTGATATTGTCTGCTAATTTTGAAAAACAATGCAAAAATCTACCTTATTCACGATATTTCAAATATACCAGTGACCTCTTTTTAGAACTAAGTTGTTCATTTATTATCCTAACCTTTTTTCGTATTCATGTCAAGATTCACCTTTCTGTCAAGATTATGAACAATCATTTTAATGTTGAAACATTTTAAATAATATGAACATTGTTCAAACTTACACTTACATATTATACCGTTCAATGAAAGCAGGATGCATAACATAAGAGAAACATAAAAACTGCTTAGTTACCCTTGAATTGTTGATAACTTTGCTACCTCTCTGAAAATCACACCTACATAGGTTGTTTGTAAACTGAGAAACGAAAAATAATAGAGTAATAGAGTGAAAATATCATACTAGGTTTCTATCTGGAACAGAAATGATCATAGCATAATTTTGAAACTGTAATCACATTTCGCAATGCCCAGCGAAAGTATAATTCTTGATGCTCTTTCCGCTGAAAAAGTTTGGAATCAGTCATGCAATATGCATTTCACTACTGATGAGATGTTTATTGATACATTTTAAACCAATGCCAGAGTCACCTTCAGTCAGTGAACACCCACTAACATTTTAAAAAATAGCTAAATCCGTGCAAAGCGTTTTGTGAGAGTGACAATCGAGACTTACGAAGGCTCGCGGTACCAGATTGTATTTTAGTTCTAGCCATCGCAGAATATTGTGCTCTTGCTTTTGCTCGCTGTGCAGCTTGAAGGTCGATTGCAGAATTACTTCTGCAACCTTTACGCGCAGAATCTAAAAACGAAAACGGCTTTTCTCAATAACAACATTACCAATATCGTCAATTTCCTCGAATCTCCGTCATTCAATAATTATTGTTCATAAGATGATTCATTTTCCTATTCGAGAACATCAAAAACAGAGCAAACATAGATATCTTTCCTCCTCAGATGATGAGGTACCAAACAAAATTAACAATGGTGTCTTCTTTTTTGAAATTTACTATAATCAACATCTGTTTCAGGAAGTATGAATATATCATACATTCAAAGCCACTCGAGAAATTACAAAATGAAACAATTTACATTTCTCAAAACCAACTGTAAATCTATAGGGATCCGAGGATTCACTAAATCTTGTGTCGCCATATAAACTGGAAATTTGTTGTTCTATTATTCAAGGAAAAAATTAATCTTAAATTTGAGTATTAATGTACGATTCATACACACGAAATAAGACAATTAAATCTCCTCTTCGATATTTCATACAGGAATAATCCAAATTAGTTGAAAAATATAAAGGAATCAGGAAGACTTGAAATTAAATCAAAGAAATATTTGCTCAGTACACTTCAATTCCATAATAATATATTCATTCACGATTTGAATACTTGAAAAAGAGAGTATTTCTTTGTTGAATACCAATTTAACAATATTATTGTTTCTGATTTGTCCTATATATATCCATAAAATCCGTAACATATGGGGACAAGTTGTATAATCAAAGTATCGAAAAAAAAATTTTTCACTCTGGTATAGGTCACGTTTACATGTGACAGATGACCGACCCTGGAGGTAAAACAACCTCACTTTTCTCATTTGTTCACTTACATAGGAATGAAATTGTTTTTCACAATTATTTTGGCATACGAATCAGGTTTTATTTATTCAAGTATGCCATCACATTGTGCTGTTGAACAATTCACAAAAAATCCAGCGAAAGACGAAGGAAAAAGATTTTTCAGGTAAATATTGAGTTATTGTAAATGAATAATAAAATTGGTCCAAAAACTGACCCTTGTGGTACACCACATGTAATATTCATCAAGGAACTACAAGTATTATTCACATCAACATACCGATTTCTATTTTTCAAATAATTTTGAAACCAATCATGGATTATTCTTCTGACACCTATTGATGATAGTTTAGTCAATAAAATATTATGATTTACAGTGTCAATGGTCTTACAAAAAAGTGAATATCTGAAATGACATCCATCACAGCTACCTCTGTGTCTTTTGACCTACGAAATCCATATTGTGAGATACATATTATTTTTTATCACAATTTGAATGTAACATTTGAAATACCATTGGACAAAATAATTAAAATAACTAGGGGAGATCACGTTATCATCTCTATGATGGGAGCCGATCGAAGAACACAATACATACTTTCTTTAGACAGTACCGGTATGCCGCTACGTTGTCTATAGGTACGTGGTAGCGAGGGAGCCCTGTGCAGAGCGCTACCACTGCCCGACAGATTCTCGGTGCTGCCTAGCCGTCCAATTAGAAGCAGCGTAACAAAACGGATTGATTCATGAGTACCCTGAAAGTGCCATACTTCTCCAGAACTCTTTGATTTTTTTTTATCTATCATTCTTTGAGTTCTTTTGAGATGATAGAAATTGGTCGGTTTACCAAATGGTGGAGATGAGACTTTTATGTTCCTTAAGAATCTCCACTCTAATTGATGGATTGAAAGTAATATCTGGAAATATTAATACATGTATGTATGTATGTACCTAGGGTGTTTCTACCTCGAATAAAACTGAAATTACCAAAAAATTGGGAAAATACAGGCTATCCGATGCAATTTTTTTTACACATAGACCTCATCGTCCAATAGCTGGTTGCAAATTTCGACCGTCATCTGATAACGAAATGATATATATGTCCCAAAGGCATAAAAATCCCTCCATAATCCTTCCATCATAAAATGAAGACTATGTATCTCTCAGTAAATGAACTATCATCGTCTTTGTCATGTCATGAAATTACTTCAAATTTTGAGTGCAATAACAAAAAACAAAATCAGAGTTCAGTATTTAATAGGTTGTCGTTGGTATTGTTGGTTATCGATATAATGGTACTAATAATAAACAAATATGGAAACTGAAATATAAAAAAAATAGTAAAAAAGAAGGTGGTGCATTCTGGAAACGGCAGAAGATCAATAAACAAAAGCAGTTAGACGAAGTTGTCAAGAAATGCCCTAAAATACATTCATTTTTTCTAAATTCGAGACAGAATCAGAACCGACGGAACAGTCTCCGGGAACTTCACGATCTCAAGACGGAAATGGTAAGTTTTATATTTTGTTACATTCAATACATCAAAAATAGATGAGCAAAATATGAACAAGACTAAGCCTTGTTTTTGGGATAATCAAAACAAATTCCTAATTCATTGAATATTGGCAATCCCTGAGAATTTTTTTTACTATTCCTGATGATTAGTAATGCCAGTGGTGAAAGGTCATTCTCATCTTCAAAAAGAGTGAAAAACTACCTTGGGAATTCCATGGTAGAGGACACATTGAATATCTTATATCAATTTCAAGTATTATCAGTGACGTTATTAAATCTGAATTTTGATGATGCCATTGACGACTTTAAATTTTGAAACTGACAATTGAAATTTAATATTTGGCGGCGGCGTGGCGGTATCGTAAAAGTTAGCCCCCGGCGTAAGGGAGTATAAATCCGGCACTGCCATGACGGGAGTGGGGACCTCAAGCTTTCAACCAGAGGTGTCTGGAGTCAACTGGGGCTACCCCCACTCGACGCCGTGAGTGCATGGTGGGCTCACGGCCGAGAATCAATGCTTGCAGGAAATGGACAAAGTATGGCACTTTCAAGCTACCGAAACAAAACCGACGCGTTCAACCTGCGCAAATATACCTGTCGTACTGGGTGCCGCCGACCTGCCGTACTGCCGCGGCGTCTTGAAGCCGCCGGCGATGTTGTTGTTCGATGAGCTGGCGGACATCGACTCCCCTTGCAGCGCCCGTCTGTAGCTCGCCTCCAGCGATTGCAGGAGATTCTCCGCGTGGTCGGGGAAGTGGTCTCTGAAGCCCTTGAACGCCCTAAAAAGTAAGGAATTATGTGAATGGGATATACTCACAGAATTCAAAGACCTAAATAGATAGGCCAATCATTTTAGCGTTTGAAATAAAAAATGGCAAAACGTTTCAACCTTTCACAGAAGTTATATTTCAGTGTTGAATGGAACTATACAAATTTTCTCCCTGGAACAATGCCAGCAACATTGTTAAAAATGTAAATTATAAACAACTGTGGTTATTTTGCAGAGAACAGATGCAAAAGAGTGGCAAAATGGTCAAAGCAAAGGAAATATAATCCTCGACCGTTCCCTACTTTTGCAACCATTTCCAAGTTTGGATCACAATGGATAAATTATTTATTCATACTTTTGTTAATAACTACTCCGAAAAAAATCTGAAAGAGTGGCAAACTTGAAGAGATGTTTCTATCTATGTCACGAATTTCTCTGAAAATTTACCACCTCCGCCGATGACGGCAACATATTTTTTATTTTACTTTACAATAAAAAAGTGTGTTCACAACTTGAATTGGTTATGGAAATTATGCAAAAGTTTTTCGAAATGGTCGCAAATGTACGGAGTAGTTGCCTAGAAAACATTTGAAATTTGCCACCACCAAAGAATGCATGTTTTGTATACTCATTCAGCTGTGAAGAATTTGAGTTCAGGCGTGAGGTGCCCAACCTGCTCATCTATTTTAGACGATTTTGGATTAAAAGTTTACTCATTCAATAATGATTCTAGAATTCCTAAGAATAATTTGAGGCTATTAGGAGGCCATAGGACCTTAGCCATTCAGGAAGGATAATTATGTTCAGACAATTTAACACCAACAGACAGCTTTCTGATGCTTCCAGGCAAATCCAGGACAATGAAGCCACATGCAAATTTGCCGTTTTTTTGAAATAAAGTTATCAAATCTGAGTATTTGGAAGCTATGAGACCTGAAAACGGCATAGTTCATTCGTTTCTCACTACTTTATGTATGGTTCATCAACCTTCTCTAGAAGTCCACTCCCAACCTTTTTCCTTCGATATGCCTATGTTCCTCGGATGATTCATGAGTGTAACATGACAGATCCTAAATGCGCATGTTTGATCTCTTGAGTGGCTCACTTTTTTCCTTATAGTCAAGTCGGTGGAGATGTCATGTATCCCCACCGTTAACCAATCCAGCCTATGCTTCTATCAGTGAGTTATTTCAGTTGAAAATCGGCATAAAACATCCAAATGCACTCAATTTCAAAACAAATATTTTCCTAGTTATTAGTAAAGTGTAGAGTTCCTGAATATATGTATTTGACAGATTTGACAAGCAGTGACAAAAGGCATAACCCTAAAAAATTTTAAATGCCATTACCAATTTGGCAGGAACTGACAGTTCATGAACGTACATGAGTTTTTTCAAAATCGAAATGGCTGACCGTTGTGTAGTTGAGAACTGCATGATGATAAAAAAGAGCTACAAAAATGGAAACAAAATACGTAGTGGTCATTATGGAAATTGATTACAGCCAGCAAAATTTGCGAAGTGGGTACCTCCCCAATATTTGAATTTTTCTATTGAATATGAAATATGATGCCTATTTGAAGGAATAATATCAATCCTAATTTCAATTTTAACATAATAGGTATACTTCAAAAGTAAAGATTTGATAGTGGAACATACCATTGAATTAAAAGAAAATGTGAAGCCTTCATTCTATCAGAAAGATTACCAAAGACACTCTTTATCGAATTCTGAAAAAGTTTTATAATAAAAAATTTAAATAGAAAACCAAGATAAAATTAACTGTATTTTAGATCACAAACAACAAATTATCTAAGATTTAGAGAGAAAATATGCAGAAATTCAAAATTTATTAATAGAGAATGATGAAAAATACAGAAAAGAAATCAAAGAAAAGGATGAACAGTTGAAATATACCTTGAAACAAAAAAACTATGGAACTATGACCCTTTTACGCCAGTGAGATGAGTCATTACTTCTTTATGAAGAGAAAGACAGAGAAAGATAATATATGGATGTACCCTTCACCACTGCAGTAGAGGAAAGACCCGAAGTGCATGGAAAAACATCTTTGTTCAACTCAAAGTCATTTTGAGAATTTGGGGTTATGCCTTTTGTCACTGCTTGTCATAGTGTCCGTACTCTTATTATTGCAAAAGTTGTCAAATACATACAGGGACTCTAGGAAGGTGTAAATGGATTTTTTATTATTACACTCACTGGCAAAATAATCGGTCCGCTCAAAATATCATCAAGTTTGCTCAACAATAACTTTGTTAATTGTCCGATTTTATAATGATTTTCATTGAAGCATATGTACATTCACAAGGTTTTCCAAATCTTTAAAAAACTAACAAGAGCTCTCAACAAAAAGTTACGTTTAAGAAGGTGCTAAAATGAATCATATGTATAGATTTTCATTTTGAAATATTGAGTGGAATCTGTACGAGGTAAAAACTTCAGTGATCAATTGTTCAGCAAATTTGTCACTAGATAAGCACTTACTTTCTCGAACTAACTCTGGCCTCGGGATCGGCGTCGGCGATTCCGATCTTGATCGTCTCCTGCAAAACGGCCACGTGCCTTTCCAGCGGGTGCCTCGGCCAATTATTCAAAATGGACTCTAAAAACTCGCAGCACGCCCGTCTGATCTCTTTGCTCTTGGATTTCTGTGCGTTGTTCGTTATTATGCCGATCAGTCGAGAGCTGTGAGTGTTCTGGATGATGATGTTGACGGTTATCAAGCCGGAAGTGGCCATGATCTGAAAGGGACCGGATTGAAAGGAATGGAAAAAATAGGTTGGTGAACCAGGCGGTGCCAAAATAAGCGCCGTGCATTGCAAAATGGGATTAGTGAACACTGAACTTTTCATATCATATCTGTATGAAACGCCAGTAGCTATATTAGATAGAGAGATAGATTTTACTATGTAACTCATACAAAATTGGTTTATTGCAAGTCAGTTTTAAAGCACAGATGTATTAAAATATTATATGAAGACTAACGAACAGAATGTTGAAATACACAATGAAAAGAAGACACAGATAAAACAAACATAGCATTACAAGATAGCATCCTCGATCGTATCACAAGTACATAAAATCGAGCATAAAATTCATGAAATTGAAGTTTGATTAAATTCATCAACAGAATAAAAACAATATCTGAGAAGGTGTTTCTTTACAGTAGTTTTGAAGCATATTTCATTAATAGATTCAACCTGATTGATAATGTTTTGTAAAGCTTAAAGTTCAACGAATTGTCCTCAGCTTTGACTAATCTATGGCGAGGCACAAGTAACTCATTTGCATCAGAAGACCATGTGTTGTAATGATGAAGGCTAGAATGCTCAGCCTTCTGGGATGAATTTCTCTCAAATTTTGAAAGATGTAGATACATGGAAGAGGTAAAATTCCCTACTGCTTGAATTAAGGTTGGCAGTGGTCTCTATAACCAACCCCTGCTATTAATCTTATTGCTCGTTTCTGTAACCTAAAAATGTTCATAGTTTCAACTGAGTTACCCCACAGAACAGTGCCATAGCTGATCATAGAGTGAGAAAGGCCAAAAAATATATGTTTCAACAACAATAGCCCCCATTCCTAAAATTTCATAAGAAATTCCTAGCCGCTCCAAGTATCGAATTCTGAGTAGTTGGTTTACAACTTCAAAGTAGTGATATACAATATTTACAAAACAAAAATCTTCCTTTGAATACTCAATACACTGTGACTAAAGTGGTTCGTGAAAATAAGAATTGCATGATATATGAACGTGCACATTTTGTGAGTATTTTGTTTATTGTTTTGATTCGTCATTTTTTAGCTCGAGTGCTACATCTTGAATCAGATAAAAAATATATCTCTCAAAATGGCGCCTGGATCTGGCCTGGTGACTGTTCTACTGGATGACCATGTGTCTCTCATAACTGAAATATCAGTTCTTCATTCAGAAATAGTCACACTTTATCAGAAATGAGATTTTTAAATAATAATGATCGCATTGGCACTAAAGACCAGACCAGATACATAATGATGAGTTAGAAATTGATTAACGGGTTGCTTGTCGGGATATTAATTTTAAGTATAGGAACTTAACAATGCGTGGCCCAAGGATTTATATCAACCGAAAAATCGGAAGAATATTGTACCCCTATGAGATATAATAATTCAACTTTTGGTCTTTGCATATACTGTTTCCTCCCATTTCAACTCTGGCGTTTTATATCTCCTAATAAACATAGTTTTGCATGTATTCATTTGATTTTTTTTTTCACCTCGTCAAGTGCCAACAGTTGCCTTATAGCAATAGAAAATATCTGGTAAATCTGAAGAGAAATATGAACCGCAAGCATTTTGATGTATGATTTCAACAAGAAAAATGTAGAGAAATAATGCCGATTCTAATGGATTGAGTTTTGAAAAAAATTGTTGAGCTATCCTGAAAAGAGTCCAAGGACAGTAATTAGGAAGACACTATGGAAGTTTTCAAAATGAATAGTTGTAAGGGTTCCTAGGGGTTTTCCTAAAGAAAAAAAAAACATTTTCCGAAATAAAAATGACACCAGAGAGTATCGGAAAAGCCAAGAATAGCCTCATGTCGAGAACTTATTGTGTGTCTTTGTGCTACATTTTGGTCCACATATCGAAAAACTTCTGTGAAATACTTACTTTAGCCGAATTCTGGATGAGATTGATCAGAGGCTGGAGCAGAATTTCGGCGGTCTTGTCGAACTTGTTTCCCAATTTCTGCGAGAGATAGGAAATCGTCACGCAAGCTTCTCGCACGACTTGCGACCTCAAATCCTTCACTGATCCTTGCAGATGCATGTCGAGACTGCGCAGGCCCACGTGGAATTCTTCGTAGCCCATCGCTCCTGCTACGATCAGAGATCTGATTTTTTTCAGCTGAAAGAGAAATAAATCAACGTTGAACTCGTCAAAGAGCATTGTCACTGATACGTCAAACTTCAAATTCATATAATTTATTGAATCCTTACATATTGGAGTATTAAGAATGGATGACAACATGGCAGCTAACTGTAAGAAAGTTGGGCACATAATGAATTTCAGTTTTCATTCTGTTCAGATATTTCAGCGGAGACGTACGATAGCCCAATCAGTCTCTTGCTATGTTGCCATTCGCATGACCTATCTGTATAATGAATAAACCATTTCCAAAAGAATGTGGGCCATGAACATAGTGGAAGGAGAAGATGGTGTTCTCAACAGAAAGCTCAAACTCGTCTTGTTCTGCGCATGACGTCAGCTGGGATATAACTGTCATTGCTATTATTTGTTTTCGTGATTGATGTCTCGAACTTCAGATATTATATAAGTACTAAAATTGTATGAAATGATTTCGAAATGCCCACTTGTTTCGTTTCTGGTTATGGAAATTCCAACTAACATACAAAAAGCACAGCTTTTGAATTTTTCTGCTTTTCCAAGAATGGAGACCTAATGAAACGATGGGAGCTTGCTGCCGACAGAATAAAAACTCAAATAATGGTACCTACCTTATATTCCTTATATCCTCATTCCAAAGTATTCTCCTATCATATTATCATCACATTCATATTACAGCACGTATTTCTTCATTCATTTCAACTTCGTAAGGAACTAACATACAAAAAGCACAGATTTTGAATTTTTCTGCTTTTCCAAGAATGGAGACCTAATGAAACGATGGGAGCTTGCTGCCGACAGAATAAAAACTCAAATAATGGTACCTACCTTATATTCCTTATATTCTCATTCCAAAGTATTCTCCTATCATATTATCATCACATTCATATTACATCACGTATTTCTTCAAAACATTTTCATGCAAAATGTTCCCAAACAACTGCGAAAGTACGGTTCTTGACAAAAAATCACAAATATTTGAAACAAGATGCCATTCCTACAAAACATCTTCCGTCGAATATCAAGTCAGAAATAATTAAAAATGAATTCAAAACTCTTAATTTCTCACAAAATATAAATATCAGCAAAGATTTGAAAAACAAAACGGCAAAAATTGATACTCCTGTTGTCGATGTCGAAGCAGAAGCAACGTCAACGTCGTTAACTGCTGAATTTGAATCTGTCAGAATCGACACAGTAGTGGGTCATTCAGATGGGATTGGCAATGCATGATAATTCGTATGTTTTTGCTATTTGCGATTGCGAATTACCTCAACGTCACAATTTCTAGAATCAATAAAATAGTAAAATCGAAGGAATAGGTAACTGTTTATATAAATTGAATTATTTCGAATTGAATTCATTGCGCACGCGCATGGCAACGGTAATGTCTGTGATTAGCAGCTGATATGGGTATCCCAGATGACGTCACATAATATGCGCGTAGGCACACCATCTTCTCCTTCCACTATGGCCATGAACTAATTTGGAATATTGAATACATTATTCTATTGGCAACATGAACAAACTGTCATGCGTCGAACACGAATCAGAATTGAAATGTTATTATGTCAAATTCATATTCGGAACTGGAGTGCCACGAACATCTCATTTTACGCTTTTTAAAGAGTGTTCATTAGTGAACAAGAACGCTAGATGACGGGGCTCAACTCACGCAAAACTTCAAATATCAATATCAAATGTTCACCATAAAAATTTTGACAATTCAGTAAAGGTTCTAAGACCGTGCTTAAATAATCGAATACAAAAATTTACCCAACATACCACAACAGCAACTATGTTGCCGTTCACAGGAAAACTGAAAAAAAAATTGAGATTAGGAGACTAGTAAGTAACTCTCTGGATGTTTTTCAGTAATTATGAGCAAGAGAAAAACGCAAAAATCAGTCATGCAAAACTTTTTGCCAACATATTCTTTCCAGTTGGGGATGGCCGTTGCCGAAATACCAATTTGATATTGTATAAATATTGGTAAGGTATCCTGGGTAAATTTCTGTATTTGGCAAATAATAATTTTTTCCAGACTTACAGCATCCGCTCTTTTGTTCCAATCTTTATTCGGATCGGAGATGATATCCTGAATATTTTTCAATTGTTCTGTAACCTCCCTGGCGGAGAATAATTGTACTGTAGGGCAGTCGTCAAATGATCTTAAAAAATATTCCTCATCCACAGCACCAGCTGAAATAGATTGTGATAAGAAAAAATCAGTGTTGCTTATGGTGAAAGCAGTAATATGGTGTGCTGAGGAGAAAATTACTTGATGACATCATCAAGCAAATTGGACAACTACGAGCAAGAAGTATTAATATACAGGGTTATTGATATTTGACGCTCACCATTGACACCTCTAGAACCTCAAGATCCTATTTCAGAAGAACTAACTTTCAAAAACGCTATTTTATGAACATATTTCAAATAGATCTACAGAAAATATCAACTCCATGATTTTCTTCAAATTATTATCAGAAGATAAAAATGTATCCAAATTAGAAATGTGCCTCATGACTTCAACCCATTCATTTCAACTTCGTAACGAAATAGTCATATAATCCCAGGTGGCTCTGCAAGATGTCTTCTAGATAAATAGCATCCCTACTTGTGGTTTAAAGATGTTGAAATTAATAAAAACCGTTAGTTTTTGTAGTAGTGCTCGATAAAGACGAATTTCTGAAAAATCTTATTGAAGTATTGTAATGTACTAGCCAAACCGCTAAATAAAAAGCTATCAATAAACTTGGCCATTTATTATCAACATACAGACATGATGCCACTCTTATTAGTTAACCTCTCTAATAATGATTTTTCCTCTATTTTCTCATACGTTGACAACTACATATGACAATTAACCATTGACATTATTGACACATTTATGTGAAGCAGTACTACCAACACAGAATGGTGACAATACATCACAAGTATATAGAATAGGAGGGGTCAAATACAAGAATCCAATAATTATGTACTAGGTGGCCAAAATTCACAGGATGCTTTTTTGAGGTATTCTTAAAAGAAGAGTTTGAAAATACATGATTCGGCAATGCATAATTTTCAAGTTGAAAAGAGTAAAACTCGAGAAAAAGTCAGGCAGTGGCGGATTTACCGGTACGCTTAGTATGCTCAAGCTTAGGGCCCCGACCCTTGCAGGGGCCCCCGAGGGGCCCTGGCATTGCATGACTATTTTCCCATATCATTCGTTTGTATAGATGAAATAATGATTGAAATGAATTTCTCTTTTGAGCAATAGGTATTTATTTTATATACCTAGAAGCAGCGGCAACATTCCAAAAATGTTGAAAACCATAAGAAGGGTCCTGCCGATCTCATAGCGACAGTGGGCCGGTTAAGGGAAAGAAAGTTGCTTAAATCCGACAAAAGATCAATAACTTCCTCGATATGGCATTTTGCAAACTTAACAAAAAAAAAACATGTGCCGTTTCGATTTAGATAAAATATTATAAGTAAAAACAAAATGATTCTCTCTTTTTTCATTCCAATTTTTCAGGAACGGCAATTTTTTTTCATCTGCAAAACGTATACCGATGAGGAAATAGTAATAATGTTCCTATGAAATCGGTGGGACCCTATATACTGAAGGAATGATGGACCTGTTTTTCAATGCAAAAATACTACATTGAACTTGTTTTCAACACTGCCATTAGTGACCAATTGCGGAGGAGAGCGTTTATTTTCAAAATTATCAATAATCAAATCAAATTGTGTACCTTATTCCGAAGAGAACATAATAAACTTTGGGAATGCTTTCCATCGGAAGTGATTTGATGAGCAGTTCGATTTATGATGGTGCAATGAAAGTATTCGCAGATTCGTGAATCAGAAAATTGGAAGTGATATCGTAGTATGTTTCTCCTAGTAATTTCGTTACGGTTTAGTTCTTTTATTTTGAACGTATCTGATCCTAGTCAGTGTTATAGTTACGTTCATTTTATTACATGTGGCTCTGATTTTTTTATTTGTTATTATATCCTAAACCATATCAATAAATGCACTTTTTTTTGTTCCTTATATCCTATATATTTTCATCATGCATTTTTCGCTTCTATTTGGTCAGAAAATGTTAGATGGGAAAATTGGTGAGAAGAAATAACAGGAGGAGAAAAATGATGGGTAGGGGCCACAAGGGCCCCAAGAATTATCAAGCTTAGGGCCCCAGAAATCGTAGATCCGCCACTGAGTCTACTACAAATAACACTGTAAAATTTCAGCAAAGCTGGTTCGGATTTTTTTCTTGAGGCTACAATGAAGAGTGTCAAATTTCAATGTTTTTTTTTTATGTTGAGTCAAATGAAAAATCCCGAGGACGGGAAAGTACTGAAAGTAACAAAAGATTCAAAATATGCACAAGCCACAGTATTTTACATGCCCACCACCCGAAAATGGATCACAGAAACTTACATGAAGATGCAGCAGAATTTCTTATGGAACCGACACGGCTGAGAGCTGATCATGCACAAAAGGCAAAATATGTAAAAAAAATCACAAGCAATTAGAATATCGCAGGCTGAAAATAATTATGTACACATCGATAAGGCACATTTCACGAAGAGTCTTACCATTATTTGCACTACTGGGCGTTACCATAGCCCTCTGCTTGACAGCACTGCCAAGTACCGGTTTTTTCAACGGTACCATCGGTTTAGCCATCAGGACTCTGTCTGGTTCGTCAGAAGATACTGCAAAATGAAATAAACATCGTTGCCATAAAAAAATTGTCCGTCACTCCCAAGGTTTATATTTGAATTTTGTTCAGTAGTTGCCACCTGAATTCTAGGTATTCTTAATGGGGAAGTTCCCAATATTGAGATTTTTATCTCAAAGTAAAGTGTAAAATGAATAAATGAAACAGTTTCTTGGCTCCTTCACCATTTCTATGACGTACTTTATGAGAAGCCACATTCACGCAGAGTTGAAATACGATTACCTGTGGCAGTACCACGTTGCCGATTCGCCGGAATCAATGTTACCAGGTGGCGCTCGGTTTTCATCGTTCCATGTCAAAGTCACGTCAAAACTGGGGGAAAACAAACTCAATCCTCACTCAATCCCATTAGTGTCATTAGCTTGTGTACTGTGTACTACTGATAAGAGTGATAAGTTTTTAAATTTCTTGACATTAATTGTCAATATTCGATCGAAAACGCTAATAACGCCTGTTGTAGATGTTCTTTTGGCATCAGATATTTTGCTCTATTCAGATGGAAAAAGCCGACCAGTAGTGGAAGGAGAAGCAGTTCTTCGTGCTAATCAAGTGATTTTGTGTGAGGCAGAAGACTTCAACAAAAGGCACATTTTTGCACTTTGTCTACAAACTTCGGCGATGAAATCTTCCCCACATGAAGTGAAATTTCAGTTGAGGTCCAGAGGAACTCCTGTAGAACAATGGATTTGTATTTGTGCCTGCAAAGCAGGACAATCTGGGTATTGTAAACATCTTGTAGCTGTTCTTTTATATGTCAATTGATTTGCTCGTCATAATTAGTTTGAATTGTTTGAACTATCTCCAATTCTTCACCCGTTCATTGTTCACTAAACTAATAAAAATGTAATAATGTAAAAAAAATTAACCAACTCAACCATCATCACTACCAACAGTGCCAACACTTTATGTCATTGACAAATTTGACTACAGCTACAGCAGGCTGAATGCAATGTAGTCTATGCACTTTATCCATAGACAACAGTTTGTTTTCCCCCAGCTTCAAGTTCGTAAGTTATTTGTTCAACTATGTTAAAGCTTCATACGCCTCTTACTGGAGTACAATGTCGTGATATGGTCGCCTAATCTCACTAGATACATCGTACTACTCGAGAATGTTCAGGGAAAACTAACGAAATAGGTGCCACAACTCTATGAACTGGGATACCACGATAGCCTCACTGCACTAAATTTGACTACCTTGAAAGAAAGACGAAAACGAGGTGACCTCATTCAATGTTCCAGAATCCTCAATGATACCTTCCCTGCGGATCTCAGCCATATAATATTCTCCTTAAACATCGACGAAAGACTCCGTGGCCACAGTCTGAGGATTTCTAAGGAAAAATTCAGAACCTCTCCAAGACAGCATTTTTTCACTAATAGACTTTTCTACGAGTGGAACTCTTCTCACCGACGCTATAGTTACCGCCCCATCTACAGGGTGATCCATTAAGAATGGGAAATCTCTGAACTACAGATAGTAAACACAAAGAGATTTAGCCCAATATGCCTAATGAGAATGTTGCTGGTTTAGGAGATACAGAGATTTTATATCAAAATTTCACAATAATTTTGTTAGTTTCAACAGCATGAACATGAATCTTGTATTTCTAGGTTTTCTGACATACGGAATATGCATTTGCAACTTATTTTGTGATTACTCATAGAGGGCAATAGTGGCACTCTATTACTTCGATAATTCACATCATATCTTCTATGTCAATTCATATTGTATAAATGCATTCAAGAACCGACTCGACCATTACAACAATAGTTATTCGACTCAAAATGTGCTACAGGTTTATTTAGTGCGTGTTATTCAAGTGCGTGTAACTCGATTCATATGTGTCGAGCACTCATGTAAATATGTCCGAAATCTTGTTTTGTATGTCAATATTGTTCCTAGTGATGTATTTTGTACTTTTCATTTTGTTTTTGCTTTCCAATTGTTTTTTTCCATGTGAAATTTTTGACTGTGTTCACAATGTTCTCAAGTTTTGGGCAAAATAGGTGAAAACCTCTGCCCTTCCCATATAATAATAATAATAATAATAATAATAATTCAATGTTCGTCGTGGCATATAGCCAGGAAAGTAGTTGTTTTCTGTCGAATAAACCGAGAAAGAATCGATATATTCATCATATAGGTGCATCACAAGAATGAATACTCACAGTCGATACTCTTCACGGCACCCGGCAACAGCTCGCCTCGGTTCTTGGCCTCGTCGAATTTGGCGGCCAGCACCGGCCACTTCGCCTGCGGCACGATGTTCCTGCGCTGCAAGTCGATGCGCAGCTTCTCGCCCACGTGCTTGTAGAGGTCGACCAAGGTGTTGAAGGCGGTGTCCCGTACGGTGGCTGCGGGGTCCGAGAGCAGGTTCACGATGTCCGGGATGAATTTGGTGAGGGTGAGAGAGTGGGCTCCGTGCCTAAGAGAAAAAATAATGTCCAGTGTTCTCTTTAGTAGAAAATAAATAAAATAGGTATTCATTATACAAGTGAAAAAGTTGTAGATTTTAGCTCCAGGTTGTGTCTAAAGACGCGTAGAGGAGGGAGACAAAAGACCGTGAGTCAAAATCTAATATGTTTCCTGTGTGCGGTAGTATTTCCATAAGCCATTGGGTTCACTTTGAAAAAAACATGTTGGGGTTAATTTCAGCTAACCCCAGGGTTATGCTCAGGATTATTAGATTAAAATTGACCAAATACATAGAATCCTGCAAAACTAGCTGAAATTTGGTATACTGACGCTGTATTTGATGATTAACAACTAGTCAAAACTCCTCAAGCCTCCGCAGCTTGCGTCATGATATATACAAGGTGTTAAGAAAAATCTAATTTGTACATATTTTTTCAACAATACGATCTTTCTAAAGGAACTTCAAATATTGAAAAAATATAAAAAATAGATCTGAAATTATTTATTAGACAGAAAAAAATACAATTCTTTGATCAGTTAAATTAAATCCATATCATCAGCATGTAATTTTCACACGATTATGGCCAACACAATGGCGACACATTGCCGAACACATCAAACCTGATGCTTTTCTACACTCGCAGCAATATTCACATCCATTTTTACAACCACAGCTGATGAGATTCAGTAAATTATCAGGCGCAGGGGGAAGTTCTGTAGTGATTGGAACAAGTGATTCTTCAACTTATTTTCATTTCTTTTTTACAAATTCATTTAGTGCTGTTTGGAAATTTTCCCAATTAGATAATTCTTTCAATACATCGGTAGTTCATTGAATTCGTGGAAACCTCGAAAAAATTATCAGTTCATGGTACTTCTGTAAGCCGTTCTGTTTATATGATTGTATATTATTTGAATTTCAAGTGCTGTACGTATGAATGTCTTCATTCAGGTTGATGAACTGATTGAAGTATTCAGGTGCTATATCATTTACAATGCTGAATACTAGCATTATTGTGAAATAATTGAGTCTACCTTCAACTGACCATCAATTTGAACATGACTGTGATGGGGTTAGAACGTCCATATTATCAGGTGAAGAGGAAAGATAGACCAATGGATGAAAATTCAACACCGCCTCCACTGAGCAGTGTGATTAATTTCTCAAACGTTAGCGATGAATTGTTCATTACCCTTTTCAAATGAAATTCGCAAGATTTTACCCCTGCTTCTCATAACCCCCCGAAGTTTGGTGAATTTGTAGAAATATAAATCGTGAAAATCATCCATATCTCAAAGTGGTCCAATAAAATTTCAAAAGAAAAAACAAAAGACTCAAAGTCAGTCGACCACACATTTATTTACATTTACATTTAAATGTGTGGTCGACTGACTTTGAGTCTTTTGTTTTTTCTTTTGAAGTTGTAGAAATATATTTCAAATTTATTCTTTCATTCAAACATAAAAATTCCAATAACTCACTTTCTTTTTCCGAAAATTTGACTAATGTGTCCAACTCGTTAGTCCAAATGCATGTTGATCCATTATCTGAATAAATGGTGTTGGGTTTATCCCTAAGAGATACAAATCTCCTCAAGGTTCCGAGAAACGCCTCAGTTGACAAAATTGTTACTAATTTCAAATGTATTGCTTTGGTGAAGAAACACGCAAACAGATACACATCACATCTTTGAACCCCGACCAATGGATCGAACATAATTTTCCCATGAGAGAGTATTGCTGATGAAAATACCGAGCATAGATATAGATAGAGATTACAGTCTTGAATTTTGGTGGCGTTGAATTCAATTAGGATAATAGTTCACCAGGCTGTAAGTTTTTAGTTTCCTGGGAAGAAATGGGTATTCTAGAAGATAACGCAGAATGGAAAGTACTATTGTGGCGGGCGTTGTTTACTCAATTCCCGAGGAATCAGCTTATAACTTATTTCAATAATTCTGATTGTGAAAATATGATAAACAATGTTGGATCTAACTTTTATTAACAGGAAAATAGTCGTGCAATCACATATCAGTCAATCTTACCAGGTATTATACGCCATTTAACTTTTCATTTGTAAAATGAATCATACTATTGCAGATTATTAATCAATTTGCTTCCGCTGTAGCATTCCCCCACCGCGATGATTAATTGTAGTACCCTGTCTCTCGACGCTAGTTATCAACAATGAAGTTCCATGGTTCTGATTGGTCTGTACTTATCTATTCAAATAACCCGCACATAAGTGTGAGCCAATCTGCAACTGTCAAGTGTCAACTGTCAAGTCCTATTTTATGGTTATGGATACTCATGATGGTAGTCACTGTTGAGAATGAAAAACAGTGAATTCTCATTTTTCCGTGTATTTGTAGAATTGAGGTGATTAAAAAACTATGAGAACCATGTAAGGTGAGTCTTTTGAATTTGCGTGTATTTTACAAACAGTAGAATAATGGTGTGCTTTGGTAGAACTAGTAGAACGAATACCTACCTAGTTGAATTTGACGAGACGATGGGATTTCAGATTATTACGCCATTTTACTGTCATTATCACTCTCATTACTCGATTCATCACAATAATGTCTGTCATTAAATGTTGAAAATAGCAATGTATGAATGACTCCATAGTTGTAGATAAATATTTATTGTCTATCGATCTATCTAGCATTTCCCACGGCCTACTTACTCGTTCAACGTATTAACTAGACAACGCAGCACCTCCTCCCTGATCTTGGCGTTCTTGTGCGCAAATCCCGGCTGCAGCTTCTCGAGCAGCTGCTGCGGCGCGATCACGTTGCGCTCGAGCAGCTTCAGCACCAGCAGCTGCGACTTCTCGCGCACCGCGTCCTTCGCGTCGCCGAGCCGGTCGAGCGCTATCGGCAACACTGTCTGCAGGTAGGGGCGGAAGTCGGTGCCGAGCCGGTCGACGAGGTAGGTGAGCACTTCGATGCCGTTGCTGGATACCTGGAAAGACGAGACAGCAAATGAGCTCCCACTCTCTCTCTCCTCTTCCATCTTTCTCTTCGATGCTACCAACGTGGCCGCATTGAAATATAGAGAGGTCCGATAAATCATTCCTTGTCTAACCTCTAGTCTGCGCCACTAAACTATTTTCGATATTATAATGACGTGATATGTCTATGTCATGAATGTTATTGACTGATTACATTTCGAATTTTCAAAATGAAATTTTGATTTATATCATACTTATTTGACATAATTTGTTAACCCAGATATGTCTAATGTCCTATATGTAGTACAGTACAGCTATGCTATCTCTATTTTTGTCAACACTAGCGCCATATTTTTATATATAGCAAGACAAGGCATTCATTCATCACATACAATGATTATGGACATGTCAAAAATAATCACAGACTTGCTTGATTTGTACTCAACAACAGTTTGAAGTAGCGTTATTCCAGCAAATTGATAATTAGAATGTACGCTTTTCTTGGTGAGTTATTTTTTTCCTTTTTATAGTTATGTTCAAATTCAATTTGTGGTCTTGAGCAGGTTAATAACATATGTTTCACATGCCGTATCATTGTTTTGAGCATTCATGTTATTTGATTTTTTTATCTCGGGTTCATTGTTGCCGTCCTACATATAGGACATTAGGCAGCTATATAGACGTTTCTCATTTGATAGATGTTTTTCATTCTATGAAGCAATCGCTATATTAAAACAATCTGATGAAGAAAAGATGGATGGATTTTGTCACAATGAAGGTTGGTGTTGTTGGAAGTTCAGCTTCAGAGGGTGATGTGGCATTATTTGAGATAAGGAAAATCATAGAGGAAGAGAAGAAGAAATCAAAGAAAGTAAATGAAAAAAAAAAAGTATTTTAATAAATAATGGTTTGTTCACATTTTCATTATCGAATTCGTGTTTTTCAGACAAAAATACGTAAGTAACAAAAACAATTTTAGAAAAAAAAAACCATCGCATGATGAATGCGGTTTTACCTTGAATGGGGAAGACCCCTGAGGGAAGAAATCCATGCAAACCTCTTTCAATCGACGAGTCATGATTTACATTTTATGTACAATCAATATTATGAGTTGGAGTTGAAGGGAATCGAATCTATATCGTTTTGAATTCAGCATATTTCATTCGATATTTCAAACAGCCAAATATGATGGTGGAGTCGTGACGTATTAGTCCCGAACTGTAGCTATCTCTCTCTGATACCTCGTCATTCTGCAGTGTTGCAGTGTAATTGGTCAGTTCAAGGACAATAGGCGTGTTGGGACTAAGACGTCGCACCAGTCACACCAATGAATTGATGAAATTTCAAATGGCGCAGGAATTGTGTGTTTTGAAATGGACATATACTAATTTATTTTTTTCATCGTCTTAGCATGAATGAAAAAATTCAAAATTAATTCACTGGTAGTTTTTCAGTATATAGTTCACGATAATGTCGTTTTAAAAAATCAGTGGTCTTTCCCATTGTAATGTGATTGAATCCGGAAAGATTGCTTACATAACTTCTCGCATTACTACCAAATTTAAGAAAAATCCGTTCACGAGTGCCCCGGAATATATCTATATATCCGGGAAACCAGTACTCACTTTTTTCCCGTGGGAAAAAAGTAATTTAAGAAAAGTGACATGTTATAACTTATCAACAGAGATGAAATGTCAAACTTTTTTGCGTATAAATTCCTATTATTATTATCCATTGATGAATCATCTAAAAAGAATATTATATATATATAGCATATTATAAAAATACGTACCTTGGATAAAAAAATCAAATAAGCAAACAAATTATTCTGATACATTTTTCATTCAATGTCGGACACCTTTTTTCGATAAAAACTTACCACGAATTATAATAGGAACATATTGTTATGGAACACCTTAAGAAACTCGATATCAATAATAGAATGAAATTGGATTCTTACAAAACAATCTTCAACGGTCTGTGACTGACACACAAACCCACCCACGCTAACAAAGGTAGCTATTAAAAAAAAACAAGGTGGCCATCTAAAATAATTATAAATTTAATATTTCGATAAAAAACTTTCACTGAATGCGATATAATAACATGACATGATTTTTTCACCAAACTGCAGAGTGGCTTTTCTATGACACTTAACAGGCAGCAAATGTGGGCTTTCTCTGCCTAGGCTGAAAAAGTTTGTTGCTATGCAATGTTCCAAGTGATTTGAATGAAATTGGTAATCAAAATTGACATTACTGACATTGGGAAGACAAAATGATGGAGTTTTCAATGAAAAAATGTACACAACAATTATTTTTGTATCTAGTGCGCGAAATGCTACTTTGGTGATCGAGAACTGATTTTTTTAACGAGGAGCAACCGAGTTAAAAGAATACTTGAGATGACCAAAGTATTTCGCGACCGACTTGCAAACGTCAAAAAATATAGTTCTAAAGTAGTGATATAATGTCTTTCAGTCTCCTAATGTGGCGATTCCACTGGCCCCCTATTTAGAGAACTTGTTATAGCACAAGAAACGTATTTTCTTTGTTTTAAATTTTCATAAAATAATTTTGTAACTTCATGAGTTTCCAAATTTTTTTCTTAACCACAATAATTTCTCAATCGGCTGATGATGAATACTCTATAGATCCGAAACACGTCCCGTTTCCATTTATGATTTGATGATATTAAACGTTGTGGAGACGACTTTGAGTATTCAAAAATAAATGATTTCTTGGATGATTAGTCTGCATGGTGTCGTGGTAACTGGTAACTGAAAGAAATGTCACTTCGCAAATTGTCATCAATGCGCCAACCTATTACTTTGACGCCTATACAGGGTGGCCCACGGTCGATGGTACCTTAGACGTATACAGAAAACGGTACATTGGGTTATCCTGAAAATTTGGTTACTCTAATAAGCGTTTGTGATCTAACGATTCAAAATATTTTCAGCGAAGCAGCGTTGCCACTTTTACCGAAAAGTAGCATCATCTTTGATATTTCAAATGGAACACCCTGTATTTTATTGCGTTTTTAGATTCTTCTCGAAGAGCTGATTTCATCAATGCATCACACTTGGGGTCTAGCAGGAATTATTACAGAGATATAGGGTGTTCAAAATCGAGATTTTTCAACTTTAGGATTTTTTTGTGTCGAAACTATTCATCATTGGTCAAAACGGCTTATATGTCCCTGTATTAACTTTTGATTAACTATCTACCGACATTTAATTGGAAAAAATACAGGATGGTCCAAGATTCAGAATTTTGATCACCCTGTATCTGTTCCAATTAAATGTCAGTAGATAGTGAATCAAAAGTTAAGATAGGGACATGTAAGCTGTTTTGACCAATGATGAATAGTTTCGACACAAAAAAATCCTAAAGTTGAAAAATCTCGATTTTGAACACCCTATATCTTTGTAATAATTGCCGCTAGTTTGGCATTTCATCTCTGTTGGTAGGTTATAAAACGTCACTTTTCATAAATTACTTTTTTCCCATGGGAAAAAAGTGAGTACTTTTTTCCCGGATATAATCACATATTATATATACACTGTTGATGACTTTTGTTGTGCTATAGCATAGACTACAGAAGATAAACTATAAGACAGTTCACTCGTTCATTTTTCGACTTCTAAGAGATCTCGCCGCAACCTAGCCGACCGCTGGATTCTGCCGGCTAACGACTGCCGGGGCCTTTGAAATCACAATCTAATTAGCTGTCAACCGACCGCAACCGTTTGGCGGTGCAATGATTTATAGAAAAGCAAAAAATGCAATGTTGGGCTGTACCGACAAACGGATTTCACTAAGTGAACTATCTTCTAGAATTCAGTAATCTTTGGCTATAGTTCCGAAAAATGAGTCAATAATACCGTCTCCGAGAAAGAACTGCAAGTTCTTTCATCTTCCATTCGACTTCGCGGTTACGTATATTACTAAACAACCACTAAATTCGCAATTTTTTGAAATCAAATCACAGAATTAGACTGACAGAAGTGACATCAGATATTTGATTACTTCAAAAGAATGATAAAGATGCCTACAATGCAGGTGTCCCTACTGTTAAAAACTTGAAATTTCACGTCGATAATTTTCAGATTCCAATAAAATGTAATATCTTCTCAATATTGATTCGTACTTTCTTCTGTCACAGAAAAAAATAGTGTATAATACACACGGAAAAAATATTAGATTTTAGCTCACGGTTTTTTGTCCCCCTCCGCTACGCGTGGGGAGACAACACAACCTGGAGCTAACATCTACTACTTTCTTTCCTTGTACTATACTAGCTTATAGCCTTTTATAGAATCTGTCTTTGAGATGATGAATAAAACACAGGTGTATTTGGGTTTGTTTCGAAGGATTAAAAGTACCTACATAATTATAATCCTAGATTTGTATACTACCCATGATCCGACTAATTTACATCTTTTTCTCTGAGGTCTGATTGTCTGTTGAAAAAAAAAATACGTTTTTGAATGAAGAGATGAAAAGTGACTCGGATTTGTTTATTCACGCTCAGATATGCTTCTTATTTTCCTTGTCAAACCAAATCGAAATTTTAATACCAATAAAACAAAATATTATAGAGTTTCTGGAAGCTCTGAACCACCAACGAAATAATTTATGCTGTGAGAACAGCTTCAGAGATTTTAATCGTCTTCACACACGCAACATGGGGGGGCAAGTTTGATCAATAACAACTTTACAATACCATATTTTTGCATTTGTCGATGTAGATCTAGGTACATTAATACTGACTGATTGAAAAAAAAACAAGATCGAAGGTGTGACATAGACTATAGAGGCTGGGCATATTGATCTAAACACACTCGGCTGGGTAACGATATTGACATCCCGAACAATAATTGAATAATAACTGTACCTACTTGGCAGAATAAATTGGAAATTATTTCAAAGGTTTGGTTCATACAGTCAAGACGACCTTGACAATGTCGCCTTCTTCATTAGAAAATTATGTAATTAGAATGTTCGCA